TTTTCTTCTATGCTAAATAAGGGGGATAAATATAGCTTCACATCTTTAAATCAGTGACTGAAAGGTGGCAATTAATCGCAATACACTGTCTGTTTAGCTTTTTGTTTCCAAAGCATAGCACGTGAGTAAAAGAACTTTTTGAGAGTTTATTCATGATAAAATTTCTTTGAAATAAAACATTTATATTTAGTGTGAGAAATAATTGATGAGAGAATAGTTGAACATAATACAACTTGTTAGTCATTCCTTTACTGCTGACAGATAAATGTTAGCTTCAGATGAAACCAGCAAAGTTTATTGTTTGGAATAAAACAATGAGCAGGGCTCTAATATAAAGAATCCTGAAATTAAGCAGAAGCAGCCATTATTTTGTAAAGAGGTAATTTAAGTGTCAACAAAGGTCCGTCTAGTCAGTCGGTCAGTTTAGTCGCTTAGTCGTATCTGACTCTTTGTGACCCCATGAATCGCAGCATGCCAGGCCTCCCTGTCCATCACCAACTCCCGGAGTTTACTCAAACTCATGTTCATCGAGTTGGTGATGCCATCCATCCTCTGTTGTCCCCTTCTCCTCCTGCCCCGAATCCCTCCAAGCATCAGGGTCTTTTCCAATGAGTCAACTCTTCGCATGAGGTGGCCAAAGTATTGGAGTTTCAGCTTCAGCATCAGTCCTTCCAATGAACACCTAGGACTTATCTCCTTCAGGATGGACTGGTTGGATCTCCTTGCAGTCCGTCTAGTCAAGGCTATGGTTATTCCAGTAGTCATATATGGATGTGAGAGTTGGACTATAAAGAAAGCTGTGCACTGAAGAATTGGTGCTTTTGTACTTCAGTGTTGGAGAAGACTCTTGAGAGTCCCTTGAACTGCAAGGAGATGTCATGTTTGTGACATGAGTTTGGGTAAACTCCAGGAGTTGGTGATGGACAGGGAGGCCTGGCGTGCTGCAGTCCATGGGGTTGCAAAGAGTCGGACATGACTGAGCGACTGAACTGAACTGAATTTAAGTTTACCATGTACTTCATTTTTTTTTTTAAGCGGGAATGATGCATTTAAATTTACAGTCTTCCCTAGCAAAGTGGAAATAGAAGAAAAAGATGAAATAAAGTGTATGTAAATGTTATTTTGTGTTTATAGAACTGAGATTCAAATGAGTTTTGCACCTAACCAAACTTTGTACAGCTTTCTGAAAGGAACAGCTGTGTTTTCTAGGGTTTTTTGTTTTTTTTTTTAAACCATGTTTTTTTACCTAACCCACTTAGTGATCAGTTTACAGGGCTAATATTTTTGTTGTAAACAGAATTAATAAAAAGTTTTCCTCTAAATTTTATTAAGCATTCTGTTACTGTGTGAAAGAATAAGTAGCTGAAAGTTGGGCATTTTCAAGATGCAAATGATAGAACTAATCAATCATTTCAAATTGTAAAGAATGGTCAGGTTTAGGGAAATACGTATTCTGAAATCTTTTTACCCCCATCAGTATAACATGACATGTTAAATTCTCTAGATTGTAGATGTATACAATCGCCAGTATAGATTTTGCCCTTTCATTAGGATGATAATCTGTATCAAGAAAGGATTCTTATTCTCACTCTCAGATCACAGATTCCATGTAAATATACCTCCTCAGTGTATCTGTAATCCTTTTTATTGCTCCATTCCAATTTTGAAGTTTTGCTTATGAGATCATATGCTTATGAGATCACTCTAAAAAAAAGTCTTTGTGGTGTCCATTAATTCATTTGACGTATTATTTTATAGTCTGCTAAATGTCAGGCACCATTTTAGGCTTGAGGATGTGGCAATAGACAAAACAAGGAAAAATGCTGCCTTTGAGGAATTTATATTCTGCCTGGGGAAAAAAATCCTATGTCTTCCTTAAGTGTTATCACTTGATTTATGATAAAGAACTTAACGGTGTTTTTATAGCAAGCATCTTAAACTCCTAAAATTTGTCCAAAAATAACTTGCTTTGTATAAGCATCCTGGAAGGAAAAGTACAGAAACATTTCTGTTTTTATGTAACTGTTGATGATCAAACCTAAGATGAAGCCATATTTGGTGGGAGTTAGTTTCCTGATCCTACTGGTGATGAGACTGGTTTTGTATCTCAGTTTACATGTGTCCTTTAAATATGCATATAGAAGGTCCTTATTGGGGTGTCTGAATTAAAATATGAGAAGGTTCGTGTTGCCCTCTGCTTGTGCACAGTCTGACTGGTACCTCTGTCTAGCCTGGTGGCCGTCTACTAGCCAGGAGGATAAGCTTTGGATTCTGCCAGGTTGTGTTTAAATCCGTGGCTCTGTCATTTATATTCTTCATGAGGAGAGGCAAGTAAACTTGGGTCTCAGGTTTCTCATTATAGTTTAAGGAGGATAATACCACTACACTATGTAGGACCAGGTTAGGTGTTGTATCGTGTCTGGTCCATAGTGAGAAATCAATAATGCTATTGTTGACCATTCCTAATATATTATTGTTAGTATTCTTACCATTACATCAGTGGTGATCATATTAAAAAACATGTAGAAACATTTAGTTGTGCTGTGCCCTGAAAATGGAGCAAACATGCTTCATCAACCTGAGGCTCTTTAGGCCCGCTTTTCGAAGTGAGTCTCAGAGCAGAACTTGTCTTTAATGTGTGTTTTGATAAAAATAGGCATGTTTTCTTACCCATTTCAGTTTATTGAAGGTTGACAGAGTCTTACAATTTTCTAGTCTTTTTACCAAATTTTTCTAGTCTTTTTACCAAACATTTACCAAATAAATGTTACTTTGTTCAGAGCCCCACACCATTACTGATCATTTTAGTAGTAATCCTTATATGTAATATGTACTTTATAGAGAAAATGCAAATCTCAACTTACGATAAATTTTTCTCAGTCTTTTGGAAAACATTTTGTGTAGCTTATGGAACCATGTCTGCTTTAATTAAAAAAGGCAGTAATAGTTTGCTGGATTAATTTTTTCCTTGTTCATCAATTCATTGCTACAATTTATTCTTACGTTGGAAGAGTGAGCATTATTATCACCATTGTATCCAAATGTTATCTTTTCTACCAATTCAGTGATCTGTGATAAAGTATTAGTTACTGATGTGGAAGGAAATAAAATAGTTTTTTACTTGGTGACAAATGAAATACTGTGATTGTGGTATCTTATTGTAATTAATCGTCTATACGACTCTGAAATTTAAAACCATGAAGTCACATGCCTTCAGAAATGTATCTTTGGTTTGCTAAGACATTGCATGCTAGCTAAAAAGTGGGTAAAATGCTCTTTTAAAAACAATATAATAAATTTCTTATGTATTATCTAACAGGGAACTTTGACTTCAAAAAATTTGCAACAGTAATAGTAACTTCAGCAGTCATGTCTGACTCTTTGTGACCCGTGGAGTGTACAGTTTATGGAATTCTCCAGGCCAGAATACTAGAGTGGGTAGCCGATCCCTTCTCCAGGGTATCTCAACCCAACGCTCTAGCCTGGGTCTCCTGCACTGCAGGCAGACTCTTCACCATTTGAGTCACCGAGGAAGCCCATAGATGATGCTATAGATAGATAAATCAACCCTGCTGATTTCCAGGTCTTCACAGCTTCTCTGTTTCTTGTAACCCCCCAAGCAGTCTCCTGCTCCTATCTACATGAAGACTAATCCTCCTACCTTTTCCCCAAATGCTTATGAAGTATTTTTTGTATAAGACCTGTCCCATAGCTTAGGAAGATAAGAAACTGTAAAACCTCATACTATACAAAAGTGCAGTCCTTTCTCTGAGGCTATGATAAATTTTAGGAGAGTACTACCATTGATACGCAAATATGAGATAAGATGTTTTATTGCACTATAAAAGCAAGGTGATTGAAATTGGTTTTTAGAATTTTTGTCTTCATTTTTAGTTCAGGATGTTTGTGTTGTTTTCATAGATTTATGGAATATTAGAGCTAACAGGTACTTTAGTGGTGAGGTTTGAAGTGCTTCACTTTAGAAAGTCCTGTGCCAAGTACTGTACAGTTGGTTAAAAGACAGGTAGGTTTATGCTTTCCTTCTCTTCTTCATAGCACTTTGCTCTGCTGTCTGTCTTCACTATCATTACTTCATTTTTCCTTTTTAATTTGCTTTTAACACCATGCAGTCAGGACTTGTCTTTGCCTCTTATATTTTACTTCTGTCATTTATTGGTGATATTTTAACCTGCAGAATTATTTCTTCACTCTGATTATTAGCTAGGTCCTCTTAGCCTGGTCCCTGGTATCTCAGCTGGTAAAGAATCTGCCCGCAATGCGGGAGACCTGGGTTCAGTCCCTGGGCTGGGAAGATCCCTTGGAGAAGGGAAAGGCTACTCACTCAGTATTCTGGCCTGCAGAATTTCATGGACTGTATAGTCCACGGGGTTGCAAAGAGTCAGACATGACTGAGCGACTTTCACTTCAGTTCTGGCTGTTAAGATATCCAGTATAGGCGCTACCAGCCACATGTAGCTATTTAAATTTTAAATAAAATAAATTAAAATTAAATAGTATTAAAAGTTTCTTTGTATCAGTGTCACATTTCAAGTGATTGATATATGTGGCTTAGCAGTTACTGTGTTGGATAACCCAGTTCGAGAACAGTTCTGTGATCACAGGAAGTCAGGTTGTACAGTGTTTGAGAGCAGGGGACCATTTATGTTAGCATTAAAAACACAAAATACGGAGTTTTGATAAATATTTTAGAATGTTTGAGTGTACTCACAGCCATACCACCTTTAGTTTCTTGTTAACTTTTTTGTTTTAAATTTCCCTTTTCTTTTTGAACCATTTTATGATCAAAGAGAAATCAGCAGTTTTGTATTTTTTATTTGTCTACTGTATATGATATGTATCATGTACTACTTAAGATACCATAAAAAGAAATCTTGGAAGTTTAAGGTTATAGGATTACTTTTGGATTATGTTCCTTGTGTTTCCAGTCATTGAGGTAATGTGTATTTTAAATGTACGTGCTTTTTTTTTGATATTTTAAGTTATGACGGTGATTCCTTGATGATCGTTCCTTGGCACGAACATAAGCACCGAGATGAAGACTGGTGTGAGAAGCTGGAGTGCAGGTAAGAATGAGCCAGTGGGAGAGCTCTTCATGTCTTTGTAGGATGGATGAGTAGAAGGCCCAATGCAGGTGGTGTGTGGTGGGTGGTGGTTTATTTGATGGTGGTCCCTGCTTGAGAGTTTGAGGGACTTTTTTTAACAGCTTGACTTTACTCAAGGTATGTTGAAAAATTTAATGGAAAAATATTGAATGGCTACCAAGGAGTTACTCTATAAGTGGTCCTTATGTAACTACTCTTTTCATTCTGAGACATTCCTTTTCAGTCTTTGACATGTACAGGTGTGTTTTTCATAGCTATTATTGTGGTATGTGTGCAGTTTTGTTCTTGATTCAGTTTTAATTTTCACTTTTATAAGACTTTACCATAGAAAGCCTCAGAACATTGAGGCATCAAGGTCTACAGAAGCTTGTGGGTGATGAGGTGTGGGGCTGAAAGCCTGTGCAAGGGGCATTTGAATCCCTTTATGCCTTACTCCTCAAAGTCAGGTAAATGCTCATTGCTCATTTTTACATTTGATAAGAGTCATCTTATATTTTTACATTTTTTTTAAAACTATGTGTATGAACTGTCTGATAAATGATAAATAAAAGCCCTAAGCAGTAGTGTGATCATTGCAAGTGAAATTTGGGACTTTCTTCATGTTGGCATTAATGTTGGCAGTCCCCCTTCATTCTGTATCTTTCACTGTTGATATCTGAGTGCATAACATATCTAACTCCTAGTTAACCTTTTTCACTCTGATGAGTTTGATTATAATAGCAATCGAATGCCCTGTGTTTTTGCTGTTATGTGCTTTTAAAATTTTTAAAAAATTTTTATTAAAGTTCTGTGTAGTTGCAAATAGATTAAAAGTTTAAGATTTTCTACAAATCTTGTTAAAAAAGCAAAAGTCATACTCCTTTGTTCCCCTTTTTTGTATCCTGCTCTCCTGAAGCAACTACTTTGAATTCTTTTAAAGGATTGTCCTGTTATTTACTCCAGTCTCTGAATAACAGAATTGTATAGCTACTTTTTGATGTTTTTAGTCCTGCCTGTTATCTGTGGACTTGCTTCAGTGGAAGATAGCGGTTTTGTTTCTTTTGCTCCATATACTCCCTTCCTTTTTGAGCATTTACGTGACCCCCACTCCCCTTTAATCTTTTACCATCATTTCAGTGTCATTTCAGGAAAGTGTGGAGCTTAATGCATGGTATGTATCAGCCATATTTAACTGGAAATCCACAGTTAGCATGGGTAATGAGAGATTGAAGATGGAGATAAGTTGAAAAAGGTGGGAGGTTGATGCCAGTGGATATAGTAGGAGGGAAGGTGTGTGGTCCTCACTTTAAGATGGGGCTTTTTGAGGAGAGCCCTGTTCCAGGCACCTGATGCTTCCCAGTTCTCCTTAGCCTGTGCCTTTTAATGATTCTGAGAAGGAGATAAGAAGGAATAAGGGCATTTCTTCTCAGACAATAGTAAGCTAAACTTGCTGTGCTGGGTCTCTTAAAACTGTAAAAATGAAAAGCTAGGAAAAGGCTGACAGAAGAGAAGATGCTTTTGAAGATGATACAGATTTGCAGGACATTTCTTTTTTAATTCATCCATTTTATTGCCTCTCCCCTACCCCCTAACCATTTCTCCCACCTTGCACCCTCCACCTCTGGCAATTACCAGTCTATTCTCTGTATCTGCAAGTGAGGTTACAGGATACCTTGTGGCTTTTTCATTTACAGTTGCCCCTTGAACAGCAAAGGGGTTAGTGGGGCCTGACACTCAGTGAGGTCAAAAGTTTGCCTATGATTTATAATCCATCTTCCCTCCATACCTGCGGTTCCCCATCTATGGATTCAGCCACCCATGGGTGGCGTAGTACTATAGTATTTACTGTTGGAAAAAAAAACTGTACGTAAGTGGACCCACACAGTTCAAACTCATGTCGCTCAAGGATCTGCTGTAATCCTGTCCTCTGCTCGATTCAAGAACACTGAAGGAAGAAAAACATGTTTCTGTATTCATGAAGTGTATCATCTCGCAGGAAAGATGCTGCTGCGATAAATTACGAATGTGATGAGTGTTATGAAAGTGAAGCACAGGGGCCACTGGGGGACCTAACCTTTGTGGAGATCAAGGAGGGAGTGGTGTGAAGTCTGAGATTTGGAGGTGTCCAATCTGAGTTCGAAAGATTTAGCTCAGTGGATGGTGAGTTTGGCTTATGAGGGAAGGGAGTGTTTTAAGAGAGGGAAGAACGTTTGGGAGGCTCAAGGCGAGGGCCCCTTTAAGGACTGAAAATAAGACCTGTATTGTTGAAGTGTACAGGACAGAAGTGACACTGGCACCAAGATGAGGCTAGAATATTCTAAGGCAGATGACAGGCTATACAAATAGTCACGAGGATGATAGAATCATGTTTCTGTTTTAAAAAAGATAACTATTTCCTCGAGATAGCGTGAATTCAGTTTTGATCTTGTTGCATTTGAAATGCCTAAGAGCAAATAGAAGGAGAATTTTGGTGCTTTCAAGTGAAGTCTGGGTTAGGGGTGAAAACATGTTGGTGAATTTATACTGCAGAGTCTACCAGGAGACCTAGAGAGAGTATAGTGAGATGACAGGAGAGCTGGAGAATTTGGAAGAGGTAGTATTTAACAGCTGGCTCTGGGAGGAGAGTCTAGCGAAGATGACTGTGAGAAGGCGCAGCCAGGAGGATGGGATGTGTGTGGCTTGACAGTATGGCATAATGGTGTGGCGTGCTGGAACGGAAGACAAGCATGTTTCCAGAAGGAGGAAAGGTTCAAATTCACCATGCTGAGAGGGCAGGAAGTTAAGGACTGAAAAAAAAATATGTCAAAGGAACTCTTACATTGCTTGTGGGTATTTTTCCCCTGAAATCGGAAGATTTCAGGAGATCGGGTGTGACTTTTATGTGTCAGAGATGAGGAGAAATCACAGGTCAGATGTTAATGACAGTTGTGAAACTAGTTAAATGACTACCCAGTTGTAACTACAGTAGGTTGTCTAAGTCATGTGGGTAAAACACCCAAATATTTGTGAGCTTTGGGTATGGTCAGATATTAAAACAGCTAATAATTCCAATGAAAAGAATACCTAAATAAATAAAAGTTAAACACCTGCTCTGTGCCAGACAATATTCTCTGTATATTTTATTTATATTATTTTTAAAATTCTTGCCTGGTGTTATTCCCCATTTTTGACATAAATAAAATGAATCTTAGACTAGTTTTAACTAATTTTTGCAAGATTTCACAGCTTTCAGTGATAGAATTGCATTTCAGTGCTGACTCAAAAGCACATTCCCTTATATTAGTAATAATTATACCACTTGTTGTTTACTGGCTTACTTTAGGGACTTCCCTGGTGGCTCAGTGGTAAAGAATCTGCCTGCTTTGCGGGAAGCCTGCGTTTGATCCCTGAGTCAGAAAGATCCCCTGGAGAAGGGAATGGCAACGCACTCCCGACTTACTTTAGATGAATGAATATCCCTAATGGAACATGGTCTTTCCGCCTATTTATATCTGAAATATCTTAGTTTAAGTTGTTATTTTTTTCTTTTTTAGTTCTTAACCATTGAAGGGAATTGGCCAGCAGCATCCTCGTAAAAACGCCTCATAATCCGTGATCCCTGTGATGGTTTCCCTGTATGCCTTCCTTTAGTGTTGTTTCTTTCCCTCCTGTTGGCAGATGGTCTAGAGTAGTTCCTAACTTTGTAAATACCAGTGCATTACTGTGTTGCTGATACCTAAAGTTATATTAGCAACATAAATAAGGCATATTTTCCTCTTGTTTTTATGAAGTTGGGAAAGAAGGCTTTTTAATTTACATTTGGCTCAGAATCACCTCGGGGTGTCTTTACTAAACTCAGCCTGACTGGCCGTCACAGTCATTGCGATTTAGTTGGCCTGTGGCAGGTATGCCGCATTTTAAAGCTACCCAGGGTGTGTCTGATTTTATTTAATACTTGCTTGATTGATTTGGGGCATATATTTTTTTTAAATTTACTGTCCTGATTTTTTTTTTAAATTGGAAGAACTAATAGGAAACTAAGGCATCCTGCCTTAGTTTTCCCATTTATCTTGTGTGCCTGTGCATATAGGAAAACACGCACAAACACACCTTCCCACAAGTGTGTCTGTCCATCCATCCATCCTGCCAGTCTCAGTCACTGCTCTCTCCCTGTCTCTGTCCCCCTCTGTTTCTCCCTCATACACTCATCTCCCCCAGCATCTCAGCCAGTTATTTGTTCTCTCTGTGCCCTGCAGAACGGTGGTTGAGCCAAGTCTTCCGGATGAAAGTGAGTTCCTGTATGCCGCACAGCCCGCGCTGCTGAGGTACCGAAGCGCCCGGCTGGCGGTGGCGGAGGTGATGGACTGGTATCGGAACAGAGCGGAGGAGATAGAACATTACGCCCGGCAGGTGAGGCCGCAGTGCTGCGTCGGATGCTCAGCATTCCCCGAGCGTTCTGGCTGCAAGCTGCAGAGCCAGGGGTCATGTGCGCAGTTTGCAAGGAGTGAAATGGGTATTTCTCAATATCTGTATTCCATTATTTGCCTCATAAGCTTTTGTGGGGGTTTTTTTTTTTTTTGATTCCTAAAGAGCAAATACATACAAAAAAAGTTGTTCAAAAATCTTTCTTTATAAAGTATAAGCTGCAAAGTATGTACATACTGTTACAGATTTTCCATGTACGCTTAATAGGCTTCATAGCATTTTAATTTAAAAGATTTTTTATCAACATTGAAATGCTTGATTAGTCCCTGTCATGTTGCAGAAATGTAGTTGATGATGACTTTGCTTTTCAGGAACCCTGTTTGGACCTCCATTTCTAATGCTTCTCTGAAATCCAAGACATAATTTCTCTGTTTCCCATGAAGCTGAGATGTGTCCCAGCTTCATCAGAGAGGGGTGTGGAAGAGAGAGATGAGGGTTGTACCAAAGCTTGTGAGTGTGTGAAGGTTGTTCAATCGTGTCTGACTCATCGCAACCCTGTGGACTGTGGCCTGCCAAGCTCCTCTGTCCATGGAATTCTCCAGGCCAGACTACTGGAGTGGGTAGCCGTTCCCTTCTCCAGGGGAATCTTCCCAACCCAGGGATGGAACCCAGGTCTCCCTCATTGCAGGTGGATTCTTTAACTACTGAGCCACTAGGGAAGTACTGAAGCTTAGGAGATCTAAAAGAGAATCTCTTCCACTGATAGACCTGGTGACTCTGGATCTGCTTGCTTCCTACCTTTCCAGTACCTTGGTTTTTTCAGGGGCTTAGATCTTAACAGAGTTAGTGACAACAAAGAAAATCATCCAGGAGAGACCATTAAAAATTCCACTAATTGAATTCTCTGCAAATGGAAGCGAAAGTTGTCTTCATCCTGGTGGATAGAAGTTGGCAGTTCGGAGCAAAGAATGGCAGGATGCCCCTTGAAATCCCCAGGGTCTGGCCAGTGGGTGTCTTTTTTATTCTACTTGTAGTCTTTTCTTTGGACTTCCTGTCCTAATATCAGGTTTTCATTTGAAGGACCATTCCAGAAGGTCTGAAGAGCAGTTGCACTGTAGGAAGGAAGAAACCCCTTCATTTAAACTTCTAGTCAGTGTATCTGGCATGGCCCTGTGTCTCCATTTGATAGCTTTCTTTTAATTTCTGCTTAGTCTAATTCCTGTTTTTAGTATTCATAGAACTGAAGATGAATTATTTTCTGGAGCTGATGGGATTATTATAGATCCAGCTTTTTCGAGGGTGGCCAAGAATATATATGATTGACTTTTTCAGGTTTTTGAAGATTACTGAGGACATTTGAAAATGTTTAGAATTCTAAGATACCAGAATGAAAAATTCTCTGGAGGGGTTCTGGTCTGATTTTCTATGTTAGAGGTAGACAAACAGATTCACAGAGAAGAGAGTGAATAGCTTGCTCAGGGACACACAGTAGCAGAAGCAGACGGAATCCAGGTCTCTGCACGATCTTTCTTATGAAGTTCATATAAAAATGGACAGTTGCACAGATCTTAATGGCTGAAATCAAGATAAATTAATCTAAACAAGTGGTTCTCAATTCTCAGATCCATAGTATTTTTTTCTGTAGCAACTATTTTGTAATACTTCCTTATTATCCTGATGTGAGAATCATGGACATAATCATTTACATAAACAGTTTCCAAAAAATTAACACAGTGACTTAACTGTGTTACATAAAATCTATAAATGCTTCATCATGAGTACACTAAAAAAGTGACTAAAGTCCGTGAGAAATCACTTTGAACAAGACAGCTGACATTTGCCAGTAGATTGAGGGGTATTGCTGAATTAAACATCGTGAATGGAATGTGATCAACTCATGGTAAATTTTTTTTTTTTTTCAGGATATTTGAGAAGGTAGGCAGGAATTAGGGTGATGTGGTTGTGTAGGACTGCCCTGCACACTGTGGGACGTCTGGCATCCTGGCTTCCACCCATTTAATGGTACAAGTTCTACTAATACCTAGGAAAGGCAGAACTGCCTCCTCTAAGTTTCAGAACACCCTCTGGTGGACAGTACTGCTCCTTTTAAAAACTGTAGTCTTAGACCAATATCTTGCATCTGTAAATGACCAGTTCATAGGGGTCACGTTAAGCAAAGGCCTAATTACTTTGCTGATTCAGGAGAAACTTAACCTGGTAATAATTGTTGAAAGTTATCAAGTGAGTTGAAGAGGTGCAATTTTTGTAGTTTGTATAGGCAAATCTAGGTTGTATACCATGTAGATAGATCCCTTTTAAGAACAAAGTCATCATTTGATTTACAGGAATTTATAAATACCTATAGTTGACTATTGTCTCTGGCTTATGAGAAAAGGGATCTTGTTTGAACCAGGTTTGTTGGAGCACTTTGTGGTTTTTAGTTGAACTTGTAGATGTAACACTTGTTATTTCTTGCCTTTTTGAAAGTGGCCAATGTTTTGAGCATGAGGTGATATCTCACTGTGGTTTTGATTTGCTTTTGCCTAATTTTAATGACTTTCAACATCTTTTCACATGCCTGTTGACTGTATGTCTTCTTTGGAAAATGTTCAGCTCCTATGCCTGTTTTTTAATCGTGTTTTTGTTTTTTGTGTTGATTTGTGGGAGTTCTTTATATATTTTGGATATTAACCCTTTGTCAGATAAATGATTTGCAAATATCTTCTCCCATTTGGTAGGTTGTCTTTTCATTTTTTCTGATGGTTCCCTTTGCTTGCAGAGCTCTTTAGTTCCACTAATTTGTTTTTTCTCTTGTTTCCCTTGCCTGAGGATAGATACAGAAAGATTTTGCTAGACTGATATCAGAGAATGTTCTGCCTCTGTTTTCTTCTAAAGGTCTTAGAGTTTCAGGTCTTACATTCTAGTCTTTAATCCATTTTGAGTTGATTTTTTTTATACAATATGGAATAATAGTTTTACTTTCATTCTTTTGCGTGTGGTTGTCCAGTTTTCCCAACACCATTTATTAAAGAGATTGTCCTCTCTCCATTGTATGTTCTTTGCTCTTTTGCCATAAATTAATTGTCCATGTATATGTGGGTTTATTTCTAGACTTTTAATTCTGTTTTATTGATTTGTATGTCTGCTTTTCTGCCAATACTAATTTTAGTGTTTAATGACTAAAATTAGTGTTGCAAAATATTTATTCAGGTTTTTAAAAAATAGCACTGACAAAGGAAAAGACCTATACTGGAATGCAAAATAAATTATTTTTTACACTTCTTTATTTGGTTGTTTTATTAATAACTTATTTTTTAGGGACATTTTTGGTTTATAGAAAAATTGAGTAGAAAGTCCAGAGTTGCCATATACTCTCCTCATCCCCCCACCCATTCACTAGTTATCTCTGTTAACATCTTTCATTTGAGTAATATGTTACAATTGATGAACCAAGATGTCTTAGTGGGCAGGTGGATAAATAACAGTGGTACATCCACACAGTGAAATATTACTCAGCTCTAAAAGAGAGGTGAGCAATCAAGTCATGAAAAGCAGTGGAGAAACCTAAAATGCATATTCTGAGTTAAAGAAGCCAGTCTGAAAAGGCCACATACTGTTTGATACTGGTTGTGTGACATTCTGGAAAAGGCAAAATGATGGAGGCAGTAAAAAGTTCAGTGCTTGCCAGAGGGTGGTGGTGGCCGGATGAATAAACAAAACACAGAAGATTTTCAAGGCAGTGAACATACTGTGTTACCATAATGATGGGTACCTGTCATGCATTCGTCCAGATCCACAGAGAGGAAGCACCAAGGGTGAACCCTCCTGTAGACGGTGACCACTGAGTGATAATAGTGTGTGCCTAGGTTCCTTACTGTAACGAAGGCGCTTCCATGGTGGGGAGTACTGGTGATGCAGGAGGCTGCGTATGTGTGAGGGCAGGGTTAATGTGGGCCGTCTCTGTACTTCCTGCTCATCTTTGCTGTCAATCTACAGCTGCTCTAAAACATGAAGTATGTTAAAAACAAAAGCGGGAAAAAAATAGCACTTTCTGAAATAAAAAATTTTGAAGTCTAATTATAATTTCTAGACCTCTTGATTTCTGTTTTAATGATTAAGAATAATTATAAAGAGAGGAAAGTGGTTTGGTGATGCTTTATTTAGTTGGCTATATACTTTCTTTCATCGCTTTTAGTTATTTAGAAACACTCATAATTGAGATACTGTTCTTTAGCTTTGTTTTATGTATTGACGTTTCATTAGGTTTGTGCTACAATCGAAGTGGTATCTGACTCAGTTTTATCTTTTTCATTTTTAGAGATTTAATTGATGTAGGACTACTTCTTCCTTTGTGCCTATTTGGCTTTTGAAAACTTGTTTGTTGGTTTACGAAGATGTGTACATTTAGTGGTGACATTTATCTAGTAAGGGCTTGGGGTATGTGGTATAATTACGTAAGTTGTAGTAGATCCTGCTTTAAGATGTCAATAATTTGATTTTCAAGCATTGTTACTTTGGTAAGTATTTTGGAAAGCAACCAATTCAGAGTTGATATTAGAAACCCAGATCTGGATCACAAAATGGGTTAGTTTCAGATTGCTGATGTGCTGCATGTTCAAGCAAGTCAAAGTTGTGCTTGAACAAAGTTGTGTTCTGTGCATCAGGTTTCTTCATACTTTCTGAGACTTTCTGAGTTTTTTTAAAAAAATTGGTATACAGGTAGATGCGACCTTTCTCACATTAAATGTATGTTTGTTGGTGGTACTGCCAGTTCTTTCTCTTTTGCCTTATGCCTTCTCTACTGCTAGTTTTCTCCCATATGTTTATTTGCACCACTGTTTTCAATTGAACATGCAGTTCTTCTTCTTCTTCTTTTTCTAAACCTCCTTATCTGTCAACTCCTGAGTCTCGGAAGGGCTTTGGGTGGATCTGTAACACTGCTTGGAGTTTTTTCTCTGCACTGTGACTGTTCCCTCTCCCCGCTTTTCGCTCTTTTCTCTCAACAATGCATCCCTCATTATTTTTAGCAATGACTGTGCTTTGTATTTCATGGAGAAAGCTGAGAAATCATTTCCATTTGCCCTACTCTTTCCTGCTTTCTCAGAGGAAGCGGCCCCTCTTCTTTCATTCACTGGCGCTTCTTTCCTCCCCTGTCCCCTAGGTTCCACACTACCCGCTCGCTGCTCAAGATTGTATCAGCAGTCATCTTCTCTCTCTGTCCTCTTACCTTCAACCTCTGGTCCATTACCCACCTTCTCCACCCCACCGTTTTTGAACATAAAGTTCAAGTCATTACTATTTTGTGTGTATATATTCTCCCTGGCTTTTGTTTTAGCTGTCTTCTTTCCATCACAGCTCAACTCAGACACAGCCACTTTGCTCCTGGTAATCAGTTTCTCAGTGTTTGCTCCTCATTTCCCTGGTGTTGGCTGCTTCTGCAACTCCATGGAAGTACCGTCAGCAAGGCCCCCTGTTAGCCTTTTAATGGCAGAGCCCCTTCCTTTGTTGTTTAACAGCATTGCCCTTTGACACCACTGGCCCCTCTTCCCTGCACTGTCTTCCCCTTAGGCTTCTGTGATATCATTTCACTCTCTTCTGTGTCTTTGTGTGAGCTGGTCACAGTCCTCTCCTCCATGTGGCTCAGGGTCTTTGACTTGTCCTTTAAATATTGCTGTCTCTTGGAAGCTATTCTTGTCACTAGTGGAGAGTCTTCTGATGCTAGTAATCACAGTTCTCCTAACTAGTTTTCTTATTTCAGTCTGGTTCATTTCTAGTTCATTCATATTTCATTTGTCATTAATTCAATAAACACTTACTGAATATTCTTTCCAACGTATAGCCTGTTTATGACATACCTCAGTCAAAAATCCTTCGAATTTGCATTTCAAGGTAAACTGCAAACTCCTTAGCTTAACAAATGATGTTCTTTTTTATCTGACTTTTCCCAGCTACTCTAGCCTTGTTTTTCATCCCTTCACTTCATACCTTTTCTTTTTTTTTTTTTCAGTTTATGAAACTGATTGTACTTCCACAACACTCATGCATCTCTCCCTTTCATGCTGTTCTCCTGCCCTTCTTTCTTCACTTAGTAATATCCACTGATTCCTTAAAACTCATTTTAAGTGGTCTCTCCTCTGGGAGGCTTTCTGACTCTCAGGTTGGGCTGCATGCCCTCTTCTTTGAGATCCCAGACACCCTCACTCCACTTCAGTCATTAATTTACCAGATTGTATTTCCCTGTGAGATGGAGATATCTTTGAAAGAAGAGACCTCATCTTACTCAGTTTTATGTTCCTAACATTTAGAATGGTACTCAGTACCTAGTAGGTCCTCAGTAAATACTCCTTATCCTAGGAGTAAAGGAGTAAGGAAGGAGCAGTATAAGGCACTGTGGGTTAAGGCAGCGTTAGATGATTTTGCTGTCAATGAGAATATGTAATGTTATAAATCTGATTAGGTGATAGGAGTGAAATTGCTGTATGTCGAGCATCTATAGGAAAATTGTTCTTTGTTTTGCTCTAAGAAGGTCTAAATAGTTGTATAGAGACAGAGAAATTGTCTCCCAGAGTTAGTCATTCATTAAGTGTTTATTGAATGTCATCTATGTGGGTGGCATTGTGAAAGAAGAGGTATTGAACAGGAATATGGAAGCAGAACGTTCTTTTGGGGAGAATGGTCTAATGAACACAGATTAATTTCACATTATCACGAATTGGTGGTGGTTTAGTCACTAAATTGTGTCTGACTCTTGTGACTCTATGGCTGTAGCCTGCCAGGCTCCTCTGTGCATGGGATTTCCCAAGAATACTGGAGTGTGTTGTCATTTCCTTCTCCAGGGAGTCTTACCCACCCAGGGATCAAACCTGCATCTCCTGCAGGCAGATTCTTTACCATCTGAGCTACCAGGGGAAGCCCATTATCACTTATTGTTAATATCTATGGTCCCCACACCCTCCCAAGTTTTGAGAACTAAGTAGGCATGTAAAACAGCTCTGAAAACTGTAATGCTCTATGAATTGAAGATGATTGTCTTTTATTTTTATTTTCAGTTTTTCTTGCAGATTATTAGATTCTTTTGAGGCAGTTTGGTGCTGGTATATTTTGTGAAGAAGTCTAATGTTTTTGTACTAAATAAGAATATTAATGATAATGTGATTTTTTTAATATAAAATGACTAAGAGTTAGGTTCTATACTGGAGTTTTTACTTTAGAAAATATGTGAAAGAAAGACATAATACTCAGAGACTTACTGTCTCCTTTCCCTTTTAGGTTGACTGTGCGTTGTCGCTTATTCGACTTGGAATGGAGCGGAATATTCCTGGCTTGCTGGTTCTCTGTGATAATTTGGTTACTCTAGAAGCATTGGTTTATGAAGCTGGGTGTGATTTAACCCTAACCTTGAAAGAACTGCAGCAGATGAAAGACATTGAGAAACTAAGATTATTGATGAATAGTGTAGGTTTGATTTTAAAAGCTTCTTTTTAAGTGTTCCCTATGTACTTTGATGAATATGTATCTCAAAGCCAAAAGATGTAGTAGCCTTCAAACCAGAGAACTTAGTCAATAAAGGAAGGCTTCTTGACTTAAAAAAAAAAATTAAATTTTATGAATAAATCCCTGAAGTCATCCGAAACCTTTTTGGCTGTTTTTGTACCTTCTTTGCCCTTCATCCATGCTTATCTATATATGACTACCCCCCCCCCCCCATCAGCTAGGCATATTTAAATCAGCTGTCATTCTAGTAGTCATGTTTCTGAATGTCATTATGCTGGGCTTAGGCTGTGAGGTCCCTCTAGTGTGTTCATGGCACTAAGGAGATGGGCTCCAGTGCTCTTGTGTTGGCTCTGCCGACCCCAGACAGCAGGTGATTCTCCTGCTGCCTCTGGGGTCCTTATGAGGCATGGACTGGAGTGTCTGTTTGAGAAAGTGTTGGCTTTCATTGTTTGTCAGTCTGTTTATCTTTGATCTTTATGACTTGTCTGTATTACCAGGTGTTAATATTTAACTTAACGTGTGTTTGTTTTGGTGAAATGCATTTTCAGTGTTCTGAGGACAAGTATGTGACAAGCGCCTACCAGTGGATGGTTCCCTTTCTTCATCGCTGTGAGAAGCAGTCTCCTGGAGTGGCTAATGAGCTGCTAAAGGAATATTTAGTAACTCTAGCAAAAGGGGACTTAAAGTTACCCCTGAAGATATTTCAGCATTCCAAGCCTGATGTAAGTAGAAACGTCTTCAAAGTCTCTGTACAGTTTCCCCTTAAGAATTACGTTTTATTTACAAAATTTGTAATACTTGGCTTTGCAAGTAATTTCTCTTCAAACCAGAAGTGGTGGTCATTTTATTTTTTAAAAATGTTTTATAGATTGAGTCCAAAAATATCTTGAAAGTTCATCATTGATGTTTATCTTGATTGATATACTCAAAGTGTATTGACTTACTACTACATTGTGGAAAAGGCAGTACCAAAAAGTCTTAATAGTTGAAAGATAATGATTTCCTACCATAGGCCTACTTTTCAAGTATTAACTTATTTAATCTTTGTAACAATCCTGGGAGGTAGATATGTTTATTATATTGATATTACAGGAAAAGAAAACCATGATACAGAGTGGTTAGGCAGTTGCCCAAGGTCAAGGTAAGGAAAGGAGCTTAGGTTGAAACATAAATTTTCTAATTTCCCAGACATGTTCTTAACCATTGTGCTTTACTGTAATAGAAGAAGAAAAGATTTCTGCCCTTGAAGACGTTCACAATATTTATTAAGTTCTTTAGAATCTCAAAAGGCGATCTTTTGATTATTCTAAATAGCTCTTACATTTGCTTAAGACTGTCTACCTGTCTGTCTGTGTATCTGTCTTTCTATAGGGTTCACATACTTTTTCACATTCACTGGTGGTAAGTTGTTTTCTTAAACGAGGCATACTTTTGCAACATAAATAACTGCTTAATTTAGCTATGAATAAAATATGCTGTTTCAAGGGATTAGTGGCTCCCTTTCCATTGGAGGGACTCATGCAGAATGGCATAGTACTTTGAGACACTAACTTTGTAGTGAGAGTTAAAGCCTCAGGTTGTGGTTTGAGCAGAAGCCGTTGAAGGCTTCCTCTAGTCCTAAATTCTAATTGGATGTTCTTGTACTGCCTTTGTTAGCAATCTGAAATCCTCTAAGGTGTATGGTCATAGGCCAGTGTAATATAGACAGAAAGGAAAGCATTGCTTACTTAGGCTCACACAGTTTTTGGTTTCTGGAAGGGTTGTCTGTCAGAAATGTCTGTTTATTGACTAAAGTTTTCCATCTTCTCATAAGCACCTTCCACTTAGTATTCTGATTTTAAGTTTGGGGTAGTTTACTGTGAGCCAGGGGTAGGTTGCTTATGACAGCAGAATGCTATGTGAGAAGCAGGATGGATTGAATATGAATGTTTTATGAGGAAGAAAGAAGTGACTTTAAATTCTTTCCAGTAATCTTGTTTGTGATCCTCCTTCTTTACAGAGTCTTGTAAATCCTTTGTATAGTCAGCTTTTTGTTGTTTTTACTTGGCAATTTAGCATGTGCCTTTTGAATAAAACATATAGCCATTTGTTTTTGTTGAAATTTGTCAACATCAAAGCAGAGAACGATGGTATTTGATGGGCTCTTCCTTTCCAGTCTGCTGTCTCTATCAGTGTTATCTTTCTGCAATGCAAATTTGATCATGTCTTGATCTTTGCAGTCTCTGGTGACCTACCATTTCGGGGTAAATGTTGGGCTGTGGTAAGTGGTGTAGAAAGTTCGCTGGGGTCTTCTTTTAGTCAGCCTCTTCAGCCTCATTTCCCTCTACGAAGGTACTCGTTTACTCACACTACTCACCTTATCACTCTGTCAGGTTCTTTTATGCCTTTTTATGTTCTTTGACGATGTTTCCTTTGCTTGAGATAATCAAGCCCCTTCCCATCACTTAGAGGTTCTGCAGTGACTCAGACAGTTAAGAATCCGCCTTCAATGCAGGAGACCTGGGTACAGTCCCTGGGACGGGAAGATCACTTGGAGGAGAGCATGGCAACCCTCTCCAGTATTCTTGCCTGGAGAATCCCAGGGACAGGGGAGCCTGGCTATAGCCTGGGCTATAGTCCATGGGGTCACAAAGAGTCAAGCACAACTAAGTGACTAACACTTTCGCTTCTTTTAATTATAAATACCTACCTATCAGTCAAGATCTGGCTGTCATTTATCCAATGATTCTGATGCAAAATCAGTGTTATGTACAAGTAATTTCCACTCTTGTTTTGCTGTGCCCACCATTCTCATATGGGGATTGAGCTATTTCAGGTTTCAAAAAGACTGCCATATTTCCAGTTCTCCAGTACTCACAGGGTGTGAGCCTTCGGGGTCCAGAATAGAAGCACTGGATACTTCCTTGGCCCTTCTCCTTGAACATCCAAGACTGTATCCCAGCAATGAGGACACAGGGGATCGTCTGCTTAACATGAACTCTCAGCTGCAGTTTCCTGCTGGCCTGCCTTGGACTCATACTCCTTAGGAAGTTGAAAAGTGCCTCTGGGACTGTGCTGTTCAGTATGGTAGCCACTTGCCATGTATGGTTCTGTAAATTAAAGTGGAAAACTCAGTTACTCAGTCCCACTAGGTTTTTATGCTATTCACAATATTTTATAATTACAAACCAAGCTACAATGTCCATATTTATTTTGTGTTGTTGGCATATATATATCTTTAGGGTATATTCCTACAAGGGGATCCTGGGCTCTACGGGTTGGGTTGTGTTGGTATTACTGCATTTCTTTTCAGATAGGTTGTTCCAGTTTACATTTCCACCAGCAATGTATGAGCATGGCTCTTTCTCCACAACTTTGCAGACAGAATATGTTGTCATATTTAAAAAGTTTTTGCCACCACGATGGGTGAAAAATGGCATTTCAGTGTTGTTTTAATTTGTACGTCTCTGAATATGTGTGAATTTGATCATTTTTCCTTGTGCTTCACAGGCATTGTCATTTTTGTGAATTGTCCATTCCTACCTTTTTTCTGTTGCTCATTCTTTTTTCCAATTTTCACTTGGATTTTTGTCTCTTTGTGCCTTAACTTTTAGAAATTCATGTGTATTAGTGTAATTAATTATTTTTCTGTGGTTTCTAGTGTGAATATTTCACCCAGTTGGTAGGTTATCTTTTGACTTTGTTTATGGTATATTATATCATGCAAATTTTTTACACTTCCTTTTCTGTAAAATGGGCTTCCCTGGTGGCTCAGAGGTTAAAGCGCCTGCCTGCAATTGGGAGACCTGGGTTCAGTCCCTGGGTTGGGAAGATTCCCTGGAGAAGGAAATGGCAACCCACTCCAGTATTCTTGCCTGGAGAATCCCATGGACGGAGGAGCCTGGTGGGCTACAGTCCATGGGGTCGCAAAGAGTCGGACATGACTGAGTGACTTCACTTTTATGTAAAATCGGAATAACACCAGTACTGACTTTACAGGATTGTTTTGAGGATTTGTGAATTAATGCACATGAGGCACTTAGAAACATTACCTGGCACACACTAGTGCTTCCCTGGCAGCTCAGATGGTAAAGAATATGCCCACAATGCAGGAGACCTGGGTTCAGTCCCTGGGTTGGGAAGGTCCCTTGGAGGAGGGCATGGCAACCCACTCCTGTATTCTGGCCTGGAGAATTCCATGGACAGAGGAGCCTGGCGGGCTGCCTCCATGGGGCTGCAAAGAGTCAGACACGACTGAGCGACTAAGCACAGCACAGACACACAATAAGAAAATGAGAAAAGTTAGCTACTTTGGTTAACCTTTACTGACGCTTTTATCGTGCCCTGCGTTGCCCCTGTTTCACCAGTTTGTCACTTTGCAACCTCAGGTAACTTACTCTTTGTCAAATGTTGATGTCAAATTAATGATCTATTTTGTAATACCTTGAAGAAGAACATATATATAAATCCTGTAGCCCAACTACTTTAGAAAACTTTACTTCCCTGGTAACATCATTGTTTCTTCTTGGCGTCCTTTTCTTCTATTCATCTGTTGATGTGATTTTTCTATTGAGAAAATACCCTTTTGGGGCAGCTTCTCTTCATCACTTTGCTGTTTTGGGTTTTTTTTTTTTTTTTTTGTGAGTTTCTACTAAAATGTTGAAAAGCAGTAGATCTTTATTGTGGAAATCATCTTAATCTTTATTTTGTTGTTGTAAAGGGCTCTAAGAAAATACTTTCAGTTTTCTGTTTTGAAGGCAATAATATAAGCATTTTACTTGTATTAATTTATTTAATTCTCACAACAGTGCTATGAGGAAGATGTTAATATCCCAGTTTTATAGATGAGAAAGGACTTCCTTGGTGGCTCAGATGGTAAAGAATCTGCCTGCAATACAAAACAAGGCACAAATCTGTTACTTCTATATCTCAGAAAATACTCTAAGAATGGCCCTTGCCCTTTGTGGCTTGCAATGGGAAAGTGACCCTAAATAGCCATATTTCTGCATCAGAAATATGGAATATGTCTTGGGATATGAATATTACTGCATTACAATGCGACTTCTTTTGAATAAAATGTCAATACTGTTGAGTTAAATGACTAATACTTAATGCATACTGAAAATAGCAGGTTTGAACATCTCTGAATATTAGTTAAGGAATTTTATGTATTTTTTTTTTATTGAAACATAAAATTTGGCTTTAGGGTTAGAAATGTTGTTTTTAATGAATTGCCTTTTTAATTCACTATGTTTCTTCTGTCTACTTTATCTTAAATGGGTCATAAATTGAAGAATCTGTTTTCAGCAGATGCAAGGCTTATGGGTACAAATTGTCTTTTCTCGCTGATTCTGTAATTAAAATGCAATTTCATTTAGAGTTATTAAAGACCCCAAAAGTCTGTAAGCTAAAAAAAGCCAAGATTTGTTTCTGCAGCTGATTAATTGCACTATTTAATATTCTATTGACCGTTGTACTGGTATATGGCAAAACTGAATGTAAATCTATTGACATTTCATACAACATGCTTTATTTCTCTAGTTGCAGCAAAAAATCATTCCTGATCAGGACCAACTAATGGCAATAGCACTAGAATGCATCTATAGCTGTGAACGAAATGACCAGCTTGCTCTTTGCTATGACATATTAGAATGTCTACCACAAAGAGGATATGGGTAAGAGTCCACAGTGTGTCATTTTTGTGGTTCTGTCTTTTTACTTTAACAGTTAAAATGAAAATGTTGCTTCTTGAATGTTCATTATAGAGAATTTGGGGAATATAAAATAAATGAAGAAAATGAAATCGTATGCAAACCTGTTGCCTCAAGATGGGTTTTCTAATCACTATAATATTGTCAACCTTGATAATTATCCTCTAAAAAATAAACAATATCACTGTTACCACAACAAGAAGCACTTTAAGTGGATAGACAATAATGTGTCTTTGTTTTAAATTGTGTTTCTAATTAATCTTTTCACATATTTTTGGGCTAGCTGTCTTTCTTCTATGAATTGTTTGTTCTTGGCCCTTGCCCTGAATAAAACTTTTAAATAATAATGTGTGGATATACATACTTCATTTTCTTTACATCTTATATCTTTATTGAGATATAATTAGCATTCAGCACAATGTAAGTTTAAGGTTTAAGCATAACGACTTACGTATGTTGTGAAATGATTATCACATTTAAAATAAAACTTTTTTCCTATGATGAGAACTTTTGGGATTTACTATATTAGCAACTTTCCAATACAACATACTTCAGTATAACAATAGTCATCATGTTATACATTATATCACCAGTACTTATTTATCTTATAACTGAGAGTTTATACCTTTTGACCACCTTTATTCAGTTCCCCTTCTGGTGACCACAAATCTGACATCTTTTTTGGTTGTGGTTTTTTTTTTGTATGATACCTCCTGTAAGTGGGATCATACAGTATTTGTTTTTCTCTGTCTGACATATTTCACTTTGCATAAAGCCCTCAAGGTCCTTCCATGTTGGCATAAATGGGTGACTTCCTTCTTTTTTATGGCTGAATAGTATTCTATCATGTGTGTGTATATCACATTTTCTTTATTCTTTCCCTTTATCCTTTGATGGGTCGTTAGATTGTTTCTGTATCTTGGGAATTGTAAATAATGCCGCAATGAACATGGGGTACAAATATCTCTTTGATATAGTGATTTGGTTTTATTCAGATATATAACCAGAAGTGGAATTGCTAGATAATATGGTAGTGTTATTTTTAATTTTTTGAGGAGTGAATATACATATTTTTAACAGGGCTTATGTTTAAGTAGAAATTTACATAACATTCTTTTGGATCATTTAGATGTATGCAAACCGGATTTGTATTTTCTCTTTGAAAGTCATACAACAATCATTACTTTAATTATACTTTAAAAATGTAGTATATATTATAAATTTCATATCTGGAGAAGTTAATGAAAGCACATGGAAAAGCACTGAATGAAAAATTAGTGGGCCTGTCTCTATGCCTTTGTGATGACAGCTGAGTCACTTATGTGGTCATCAGTTTCCTCATTTGCAGAATCAGCTATTTAGACAAGAAGTCCTCCTCATGCTCTATTTATTTTTCTCCCACCTCTTTCTTCTTTTCTCTCTTTTCTTTCCAAGGAAATATTTGTTTTTGTGTGTGTGTGTGTGTGTGTGTGTGTGTAATGAATGATAAAAGTCACTGATTTTGCAACCCATTGTGAAATAATTGTTTCATGTAATCTTTCAGTTCAGTTCAGTCGCTCAGTCGTGTCTGACTCTTTGTGACCCCATGGACTACCACTTGTCAGGCTTCCCTGTCCATCACCAACTCCCGGAGCCTACTCAAACTCTTGTTCATTGCATCGGTGATGCCATCCAACCATCTCATCCTCTGTTGTCCCCTTCTCCTCCCACCTTCAGTCTTTCCCAGCATTAAGGTCTTTTCCAATGAGTCGGTTCTTCGAATCAGGTGGCCAAAGTACTGGAGTTTCAGCTTCAGCATCAGTGCTTCCAATGAACACCCAGGACTGATTTTCTTTAGGATGGACTGGTTGGATCTCCTTGCAGTCCAAGGGACTCTCAAGAGTCTTCTCCAACACCACAGTTCAAAAGCATCAATTCTTCGGTGCTCAGCTTTCTTTATAGTCCAACTCTCACATCCGTACATGACTACTGGAAAAATCATAGCCTTGACTAGATGGACCTTTGTTGGTTAAGTAATGTCTCTGCTTTTTAATATGCTATCTAGGTTGATCATAGCTTTTCTTTCAAGAAGTAGGAGTCTTTTAATTTCGTGGCTGCAGTCACTATTTGCATTGATTTTGGAGCCCAAAATAAGTTTCTCACTGTATCCATTGTTTCCCCATCTATTTGCCATGAAGTGATGGGATCGGATGCCATGATCTTTGTTTTCTGAATGTTGAGTTTTAAGCTGACTTTTTCACTCTCCTCTTTCACTTTCATCAAGAGGTTCTTTAGTTCTTCTTCACTTTCTGTCATAAAGCAGAAATTCTGGTGTCATCTTTAATAGTACTGAAATCACGTGAAAACTTGATGGGGAAGGAATACTCGCATGGTACCATGGTATTACTTTAGAAGACATTTTTAACTTTTTTTTGTAATTTCATAAGGGAAATTTACTTTTATAAAGTTCAAGTCTGACTATTGTCACGTTTGATCAAGTTATCAGAAATGGCATCACTTAGAGTCAGATAGCCTAGCAGTATGTGCCTCCTGGTGAGAAGCGATATGAAGTAAAATTATTTACCCTGAATCTAATCAGTACTTTAAGCTGGACTTCTAGTTTACAGTAAATGTAGGGAATAGGAGAACAAGTTAAATAACACCTTGAAGAAAAAACCAGATAAATACAGACTGAGATATTCTAGAGGTCAGGTTGTCTTCAGTTTGAAAAGTCCGTGTCGTGAATAAAAACACATTGGTGGGGGTAAGGGGGAGCTATTCTGAAATTAAGGTGTCCAAGGGAATGTAATCCCCTTCAAATCTTTAACTATAAAATAATGTTATCTACTAGTTAAAATGAGGACACTGGGAGACTTGTAATTGACAAACAGTTTTGGGCTACTCTCATGCCCCATCCTTGGATACCTGTCTTCATTACAGATCATGTTTTTTTCCCTCAACTTTGTGTCCTTTAAAATATTATACTCATATTGTTTACTGATTTTCCAACTTCAGATGATTATTCACTGTGTTTTATGGAAGCCTACCCTGCCCCCATACCTACTTCTCCTAACTGTTTTCTCAGTGTAGTTAAAGAAGTATTTTTATCGTTGTGATTATGTATATACTGTTTACACAGAGCTAGTTATGATTGTATTTTCTCTTTATGTATTTTTTTCCCTTGGATTGAATAATTTCCTTGTCATTGTTTCCATTTATTCCCCTTACTCTTCTAACAGAAGTCTAAAACTCCTTTTCAGGGTCAAAAATATCTGGTAATCTTTCTTTTCTCCTTTCACACTCTCTCTTACTTCAAAGAAATGTCTTAGAATTGTCTTTTTCCTCCTCTGGTATGCATTTATTGTTTACTCTGCTGTACATTGGTCATCTCTCCTCTGTTGTTATGTTGCATTTCTGGAGTTACTATCTTCTCCTTTCTTTACTTATTCCCTCACTTTGATAGAACACAGTCTTGAATAGCTTCTTGTCAAATATCACATAGAAGCATTCTTACTTTAAGACTGTTCCATGTCAGAAAAATGTCATGGTTGCATCCTTACACTTGAAAGGCTTGGCTTGCTTGGAGATCTGGGTTAATGGTCCTTTTGCTTGTGAGCTTTGAAGGCATCACTCTTATCTTCTCCTTCCAGTGTTAGTGAGAAGTCCAAGGCTATTATATGGCTTTTTTCTTCTGTTTTTGGAATCCTTCCTACCCTTCATCTCTAATGTTCTGAAATATCATAAGGATGTATTTTATTGTGAATCTGTGTTTATCATTACATAGTGTGTTCCAACCTGGAAACTCATGTCCTTCAGACTATTCTTTCTTATATTTTTTCCTGTTATGTTTCTTTGATCAGTTTATTTGCATGCCCTTCTATTTTTCTTTTTTGCACACTTTAAATTTATTTACTGCCTTTTTTTGTTATTTTTTTCCCTACATTTTGACCTTTTGTAATATGGTCTGGGAAATTTCTGCAATTTTATCTTCTAATCCTTATTTTGAATTTAAAAATTTATTTTGGCTTTCTTAAATTCCAAGAATTTTTCCTCATTCACTTTAAAACCAAATAATATCCTGCTCTTTTTTCACAGATGCATAAACCCTTTCTATACACCCTGCATTATCCTCACCCCGCCATGATCTTTGATTTTTCATATTTTGTTTGCATCTCTGCTTTAACTGTGAGGTCCTTTCCTCCATGTCTAATGATTCTTGATCATTAATTTATATCTAATAAGTAATAATTGCTATCTTATTGGATAATATCTGATTGGATGTCTTGTGACAAGCTGAAGGCTTTTCATTATAGGGGTCCTTAGGAAATTGCCTTATTTGTGAGCAGCTAGATTATCTGTCTTGTTTTAGTTTTGATTTCTGGAGGATAGGGTAATCTTGCATTCTGTCTATTGTGTTACAGGGATGTTAGGTGGTTCATAAATCCTGATTGTTGATCTCTTTTCTTTAAGAGTTGAAGTGCTGACCCCAAGAAGGAATCAAGGCAAATAGTCTTGTTCCTGGTAAAGCTAAATGGAGACTGTACTAGTGGTTAATACTTCCCTTCCTTAGTCCAGGTTTAGGGAATATAGAAAGAAAGAAAAGGTGTAATCACGGGGGGACTCAGCATCTGTTTATTACCGAAAACTGTGCAGATGGGACCACAGGCTCCTTCACATCTTTGGTGAAGAGCAGCAGGTCTACCTCTGGAAGCCATGGGGGTTCTGTAGGTAGCACAGGACTGGTAATGTGGATTGTCTTAACAATTTTTTAGCAAAATATCATTACCCATCCTTTAAAAACCTCAGCCCAGTGGATGTCAGAGTGTCTCAAGTCAAAGTGCTTTTCTCAGAGGGTATCAAGAGATGCAGAGCCCTTTCCTTGACAAGCACCTCATAGGGCAGAAGTGTTGGGGAAATTCTTTTTACATGATCTTCAGGGATGACATGATGGTCCCTCTGCCTGCTTGATCCCCCCTTGGTTGTCCTTGAATCATCTAGGTAAAAATCATTGACTTCCAACTGACATGTGCAATTTTTAAAAGTAAACATACTAGACTTTGTTCTTCAGTAAGGTCAAAGAGGCATGAATATCAATTAGAGCTTATCTATCAACTTATAACCAGTAATTTGCCTACTGTGAGGGGATTTAGTCATTATATCAATTGAATGATGATATTCAGAGAACATTTTTTTTTTTTATGTAGACATTATAATGAGGGGGCTTCCATTGTGGCGCAGCTCGCTAGAACATGGAAGCAACCTAGATGCCTACTGACATATGAATGGATAAAGAAGCTGTGGTACATATACACAATGGAATATTACTCAGTCATGAAAAGGAACACACTTGAGTCAGTTCTGAGGAGGTGGATGAACCTAGAACCTACTATACAGAGTGGAGTGAGTCAGAAAGAGAAGGATAAATGTTGTATTCTAACACATATTCAGAATCTAGAAAAATGGTTCTGAAGAACTTATTTACAGGGCAGCAGTGGAGAAACATAGAGAAAAGACTTATGGACGTGGGAAGGGGAGGGTGAGATGTATGGAAAGAGTAACATGGAAACTTACATCACCATATGCAAAATAGACAGCCAACGGGAATTTGCTGTCTGGCTCAGGAAACTCAAACAGGGGCCCTGTATCAACCTAGAGGGGTGGGATGGGGAGGGAGATGGGAGGGAGGTTCCAAAGGGAGAGGATGCATATATACCTATGGCTGATTCATGTTGAAGTTTGACAGAAAACAGCAAAATTCTGTAAAGCAATTACCCTTCAATAAAAAAAAAAAAGAATCCACCCACAATGCGGGAGACCTGGGTTCGATCCCTGGGTTGGGAAGATCCCCTGGAGAAGGGAAAGGCTACCCACTCCAGTATCCTGCCTTGGAGAACTCTATGGACTGTATAGTTCATGGGGTCACAAAGAGTTGAACATGACTGAGTGACTTTCAGTTTCTCTATAATGAGGGGATGAGTATATTTGTTTTCAGAGAATGTGTAGGCTAAGAAATGCCGTGTGTGTGTGTGTGTGTGTGTGTGTGTGTGTGCGCGCGCAAAAGCTTTTTTTCAGCTTCAGATGAATGGTTTCTGATCTAACAGACTTTTAAAAAAATTTTTTGGTAAACAGACACAAAAAGCACGATAATCTTCTGTTGTTCCATTTATTTCTTAATGATTGTATTTCATTATTGTAATTTTCTAAATAATTTCAATTATAAATTAGTCTAGTATTAAAGTATAGGCCTTCAGAATATTTACTCTGGTTCTTTTTGCTCCTCATGCCTAGTTTGTCAGTTTACATTCTCTTAGTGATTAGTTGTTTATTTTCAGTGATTAAATGGTTTTATTTACCAAATGGTTAACCATATATTTTTTCAGTATTTAGGATATTAGATTCTTGTGTCTTACCTAGACTGCACATTCCACCTGGCTGAAAAAAAATCTTTAGTCATTATGTTTGTGAATGTCATTCACAAAGGAAGAACATTGTATTCTGAAAATCAGTGACAACTTGTTTATTGTAAAGCTACAAAATGATAATTTAAGAATATTATTTCTGAATAAGTATGTTAATTGAAGTTAGCTCTGACAAATGATCTTTTGTTTTTGAAGGACTTTAAGTGGAATATACCCTAATTTATCACTGCAGTCCAAAGCTGAAAACTTGGTTTAAAAAGACAGTATAATCTTTGTAAATTACTTGAAATAATTGCCACATATATTTAGACCAGGACAAATTGATAGTTTTAAAAATAGTGAGGTTTTGGTGTTCAAGGTAGGTCACTCTTAATTTTCCAAGTCCAGATGAGATTTTTATTTGGTTTTCTCATCAGATCATAAGATCTTGCTTGAATTCAGCCAGATCATTGGTTGGAAGGCATCAGAGTGTGTTGGGCACAGTTGTTCTCAGTTGAGAGCTGTCCCTCCAAGGCTGGGGCACAGAGTTGCAGAGGGCGGCTGGGGGCTTTTATAGCAGTTGCTTAACTTTTCTGCCATATTCCTTTCACTTGCGTGTGTGTTGTACTGTACTAAGTCTGTCCTGTCAGCCATGTTCTTATTAGTTTATGATCTTTTTTGTGGTAATGTTTCTCCTAGTGTCCCATCTAATTATTTCCTGAGAGAGAGTTTGCTGGTTACCTCAACTCCCTGGTAGGAATTATCTATATGATGACTATGTACTTCTCCTTCACTTTTAAATATTACAGTGGAGGCAGTGTGAATGATGAGATGTAAAAGACCCTTGAGTATATAGAATCCTAGTGGACACGTCCTATGAGAGTCACAGGTGGTGTAGACAGGACCAGGACAAAGCCACTGTGAGGCCCGTGGCTTCTAATCTATTTTATTGTTTAAAAAAAAACAGAAATAAATGACAGCTTTATTCTTTATCACTTCTTTGAAGAAAGACTACAGTTGATTTATAATTCTTTTTTGCTTTTCATCAGAACTAAACTAAAAGTCTTTAGGAAAATATTTGCCCATATCTCACTAATCTTTAATAGAAAATACTGTTCTGTTCTAGTATTTTTTATCTTAATCTCTTTTGAGTTATGAAAGATGCTGAATGAGTGTAGGAGATGAGACTGACATTTTACCTGGACAGTATGATAACCACTTTAATTTATTAACGTCCAAGGGAAACATCATTTTTTTTTAAACTTGAGTTTGGTATTTTAGGTAAAAAGCTACTACTAAAACTTAATTTTAATTCTTTTTTTTATCCTTCAGTCAGAAAACAGAGGTCACGACAGTCCTTCATGACATGGTAGACCAACTGGAGCACATTCTCAGGTGAGAAAACTGGCAGTCTGGTCTATGCTGATTAAAGACATCTGTTCAAGAAATGTTACATTAAATATGCCCAGTGGTCATTTCTACTTTGATCTCATATTTGTTTGATTCTCCTGGGAGTGAATGAGTCTAATGCTAGCTTATCTCAGCAGAATGCTACAGTAGTGGAAACATGAACTTTGAAGACTAGTAGCTGTTGCTGCTGCTAAGTCACTTCAGTCGTGTCTGACGGAGTCCCAGGCTCCTCCGTCCATGGGATTTTCCAGGCAAGAGTACTGGAGTGGGTGCCATTGCCTTCTCTGAAGACTAGAAGTGTGTTCAAATCTAGGTGTTGTCACTTACTAGCTATGTGATCTTTGAGCCTATGGTTTTCTTAGCTGTAATACCTATAATATCTAACTCATGAGATATGAAACTAATATTATATTAAGGGCTTCCCTTGTGGCTAGGGTGGTAAAGAATCCGCCTGCAATGAGGGAGACCTGGGTTGGGAAGATCTCCTGGAGAAGGGAAAGGCTACCCACTCCAGTATTCTGGCCTGGAGAATTCCAGTCCATGGGGTCTCAGAGAGTCAGACACGACTGAGTGACTTTCACTTTCACTTTAAGCTTTTAAAGTACCTCACACTTAGTAGGTAAATAAGAAATATTAGTTCCTTCAGCAGTTACTACTTCTGCCAGCAAACAGTGTTTACTTTACTCCTTTTTTGGGGTATACTAAAGGAGATCAGTCCTGGGTGTTCATTGGACTGATGCTGAAGCTGAAACTCCAATACTTTGGCCACCTCATGTGATGAGTTGACTCATTTGAAAAGACCCTGATGCTGGGAAGGGTTGAGGACAGGAGGGGAAGGGGACGGCAGAGGATGAGATGGCTGGATGGCATCACTGACTCGATGGACATGAGTTTGAGTAAACTCCGGGAGTTGGTGATGGACAGGGAGGCCTGTTGTGCTGCGGTTCATGCGGTTGCAGTCAGACATGACTGAGCGACTGAACTGAACTGACATTTGATTGAATATTTGGATTATAGTAGTAACTAGCAATATTCTTTACTGTGAAACTGAAATATTAAGCTCTTTTGGAGACTGAAAATTTCCAAGTTGCTATTCAGAAAGTGTAATATTGTTTACTAGTGTTCATTTTTATATTTATATATAATGTGCTTATATGTAAGTTTTAAGTATTTACATTAAAATTAAATTTTAGTAATAATAAACTTTGTTCTTCCAATATACAGTTGTGGAAATTATGTAATAACATCACTTGATAGTGTTAGTATGTAAAGTACAAGTATTTGGAATCTACTAATTTGATGTCTCTCTCCTCCCCACAGCCTCTCTAAAAAATTGAGCATAGTTTGAACAAAACTTAATTTGTTAAGTCAATATAGATTCATTCCTTACAAATCTACATGGTTTCTTTTATTTCCCTAATGAAGTGGGAAGGAGCTTTCCCAAAGAGATACTGTATAATAAGCATAATGTATTTCATAAAAAATTATTGCTGCATGAGAAACATTATTTATTTCACCACATGTTCCTGGATGTAACCGTGAATTGTGTTCATAGTCAAATTATGCTCTCAGTACCTCAGGCAAACAGTAGCACCCTGTAGGTTTCTGGATGATTCACAAGTGTTTCACTGTTCACCTTAATTTACTAACCTTTTAAAAGGAAAGCTTTTCATTCCTGTTCCAATTTTACCACATAGCCACTAATAGTTGATAAATGTTTAGTGTATACAATGTCAGGTGAAATGACCCATTAAACTTACCTTTATGAAGAGTTACTGAATTTTATATGACCTAATTCATAAATGTGAGATTTGGTGAGAACAACAAGATGTATATACAGTGCTGATAATTATGGAATAAGATATCCTAAGAAAATCCATATAAGAACAGGAATCTTATTTGTTTGTTTATAGAATGGATTCCTTAGGAAGATTGAGCCTTACAGTATTTCTGTGGTTTTCCAGCTCTAAAATCCTTTGCTTATTGCTTTTCTAGGAGCCTTGCCTATAACAAAATACTCACTAGGGTTGTTAAGAGTTAAAGCTGGGTATTGCAGTGATAGATTTGGCTTATTTTGCTGACTTGATGCTTTTAGAGTATAGCAAAATTGTGAAAGAGATTTTGAGATGAGGATATGCCAGGGTTTTAAAAAGATGTTAACTCACCCCAAGAATATTGTAATAAAAGTCAGTAGGGGAAATAAAATTTGGTGTATAGTTATTAGCTTTTCTTTGGCTAAGAATTAATGTAATGTGTAAAATTGGGTCATTCTTCGTGCTACTTTTTTATTTTTGTTTTAAGTACTTAAACCTAAGTTCTGCTTGTATGTTGAAGATTCTCAGAGCTGTTTTGTTTGGTAGCAAAGCGTATTGAAAAGTTCTTTTTTACTTGCAGTGTGTCAGAGATTTTGGAGAAACATGGACTTGAGAAACCAATTTCCTATGTTAAAAATACTCAGTCTAGCTCAGAAGAGGCACGCAAGCTGATGGTTAGATTGACTAGGCACACCGGTCGAAAGTGAGTAATAAACACAATTAATTGATAATTGTGCATGATTAGAAACAAAAACTGCGTTTTTTTTCTTTTTCTGACTTCACTGGATTATAATTGACCAATAATAAATTGCACATATAAAGTATAGAAGCTGATAAGTTTTGATCCACGTATGTACCCATGAAGTCTTCACCTCATCAAAATAATGAACCTAACCATCACCCCGAAAGCTTTCTTTTGCGCATTTATAATCCCATTCCTCCTCCTCTTTCTCCCCATCCCCTGCCCAGGCTATCACTGATCTGTTTTCTGTCTCTGTATCTTATTTTGTATTCCCTAGAATTTGATGTAAATGGAGTCATAACAGTATGCTTTTTGTCTGGCTTCTTTCAGTCAACATAATTATTTTGTGATTCATCAAGTTGTATCATGGATCCATAGTTTATTCCATTTTGTTGGCTGACTACTATTCCATTGATGGATTTACTGTGCTTTGTGGATCTGTTCTACTTGTTGAGGGACATTTGGTTTATTTTGAGTTTTAGCTTTTGCAAATACAGCTGCTATGAATACTCATGCAGACGTCTCTGTATGGACATGTGCTTTCATTTCCTTTGGATAAATTCATGAGAGTTGAATGGCAGGATCATATCGATAGATGGATGATTAACTTTTGGAAAACCTGTCTTCCAAAGCATTTGTACTGTTTTTTTTCTTTTTTTAATCAGTCTTTTAGGAGAAGTCCATCCTTGTCAATACTTGGTATGGTCAGTCTTTTTAAGTTTAATAGGTATTAATATGTTGTGGTGTCTAATTTTGGTTTTAATTCCTTTCTCCAAAGAGTAATAACATTGAGCATCTATTTATGTGATTATTTGCCATCAGTGTATCTTCTTAGATCATTTTAAAACTGAACTTTTGTTTCTTTACTGATTTTGAGTTTTGTTATATACTCGGGATACGAGTTCTTTCTTAGATATATGCTTTTGTAGAGATTTCCCCCCATTTGTCTTATCTTTTCATTCTCATACCTGTCTTTTGAAGTGCATATTTTATACATTTTGAGAAGATCCAGTTTATCAGCTTGTCCTTTGTTGATTGTGTTTTTGATGTCATGTTATGAAACTTTTGCCACAAAGATTTCCTCCTGCCATTTGTAGTAAAATTTTTAGTTTTTTCCTTTTGCAGGCAGATTCATGGCCCATTTTGAGAGTTCATTTTTGTTTATCATTCATGATATAGATTTTTTCTTAATGCCTAAATATTCCAGCATCATTTGTTGAAAAGACTATCCTTTCTGTACTGAATTGTTTTTGCATCTTTGTTGACTATCAGTCATCCTTTTAATGGGGGCCTATTTTGGAATTTTTTATTTTGATCCATTGATCTATTAGTCTATCTTCTAAGAACCATACTATGTTAATTGTTATAGATCTGTAGTAAGTCTGAAAATTGTTGTAAATTTATAGGAAGTCTTAAAACTTTCTCCTCATCTCTTTTTGGACAGTTTATTATAGTTATTGATTTATGTGCCTTGCATTTCCCTTGAAATCATCAGCTTATCCAGAGGAAGTGTTATAGTCACCGTACAAGTAATTTGGAATCTTATATGTCACTGGCCATCTCTCAGTTTTTAAATGAATAACTTAGAAGATTCTGACAATGTAAGTCTTAAGATTTCTTTACAGCTGTAAACAGTTGGTCAGTATTTCCCACCATGTTGGCTCTACCTTAGAACACACTCTTCAATAAGAAAGCCAGAAAGAGAAAGATCATTACAGTATAGTAACACATATATATGGAATTTAGAAAGATGGTAACGATAACCCTATATGCAAAAAAAGAAAAAAAGACTCAGATGTATAGAACAGACTTGTGGACTCTGTGGGAGAACGCAAGGGTGGGATGTTTCAAGAGAACAGCATCGAAACATGTATATCTAGGGTGAAACAGATCACCAGCCCAGGTTGGATGCATGAGACAAGTGCTCAGGCCTGGTGCACTGGGAAGACCCAGAGGGATGGGGTGGAGAGGGAGGTGGGAGGGGGGACCGGGATGGGGAATACATGTAAATCCATGGCTAATTCATTTCAATGTATGACAAAAACCACTGCAATGCTGTAAAGTAATAAGCCTCCAACTAATAAAAATAAATGGAAAAGAAAAAAAAAAAAAAAGAAAGTGTTGGTGCTGCTGCTAGATTACCGGCTGTCTTTCCATTGAATCTCTCAAATGCTTTTGAAGTCTTTGAAGTTAATTTCTACTTATGGCATTCTACTTACTGAGAATATGTAAGAGAGCATGGCCTCTTTCTTCAAGGTAGTCAACTTGAAATGAATCTTAATTATTTCACGTATGCTACCACGGCTTGACCTTCAGCAACTATAGAACTTTTTTATGCATATTCTAAATGGTGACAGATTTCACTGACTGTGTCACTGATGAGGTTTTACCATCTTGAATGCTGTACTATTTTCTCTCTGGAAAATAACACATGCCTTCATTCCAAAGTGGTAACTAATACATCATGTTTGTATTCAGGTATCTCTCTGTCAATTTTCAAAGCTCTTGTTATAGTGCCCCCAAGTTCTACTCTTGGTTCTTATTTACTGAATGTATTCTGAAAAGACCACTGGAAATAATGTCTTATAATTTGTTTTAATTAGAACTTGTACTTACAGCTAGCCATGTGTGAGCAAGCATTAATACCATCTGTCCCGTGCTGCTGGTTTCCAGAAGAACAGCTGGGCATGAGAACTTGAATGCAACTAGACAGTGCCCAGATCTGGTTTTATGAAGCTTGTGCAAGATGGACACTCAGTTTTTCAAACATTTTGCTACTTTTTTGCCTGCAAGCCAAATTTGAAAGAGCCCTTTAATTTTTTGAAGTCCACCCAAAGAGTTCACATACCAATGTCTAACTAAGGGAAGCACTTCAGGGATTATCCTTGAAGACTTGCAAATATGTCAGCTTGTTTTATGTATTTGTATGCTGGAAAAGGATGTATTCTCTTAAGCTTTATTGCATATGGGATAGAAATAATTGTTCATTTTGTGTAACAAATATAAAATGCTAGAAGCAAATTTTGTTTTTAATGCATAAGAAAGAAAACAATGCATGGAAAAGAAACATCCAGTTGGTATTTGACAAACACAAAACAAAACCTACCCTTTTCAAGCAATGAGATTCATGATTATAAGAACTTCAAAACTAGAAAATAAACATAAATGGTGTTTACAAACTCATAGATAGTCAACAAAGATGAACTTTGAAGAGAGGTGGAGAGAATTATAGCACATTCGCCCTCCTACCAGGCAATATTTGTGATGGTGTATGTGACAGAAAAACAGTGTGTTTGTAACTTTCACATTCATTCATTCACATTTGTTGAATGCTCTGTTGTACCAGAAAAATATGAGGCGTGTCTTTTCATACATTCTCATTTAAGTTAATCCACATAATATACAAAAAAGGGATCTGAAGTTCAAAGAAATTAGTAAGTTTATTCAATTCCATACAGGCAGTTGAGCCTGTTTTTACATTTAGGAAAAACCTTGCTTCAGTTGTCTGTTTTATCCACATTAATCTCTTCCATTCCTTATCATTGTCTGAGATGGACTTTAAGTTAGAAATCTGAAATTCAGGAGTATTAAATACTCGCAGTCACAGAGCTAGTATGTGCGTCCCTGGGGCATTGTTAACAAAACCTTGTCTGCTGCTGCAGAAGAAGCTGAGCCGTCAAGTATCTAACTCTGACTCTGGAAACTACCATGACATGGTATTTGAACAGCTAGATTGTGTAGGCCGCACTGCTGGAGCCCGAGCAGTGCTCGATTGGTAAATTGCTTCTGACCGGAGGAAACTGTCGATAACCTGGGGAACCTGATAGCGACTTGCTATTTTGAACTTTCCCATGTGTGGTCACTGGCTTACCCTGAACACTGTGGCTATGGAATTGTTGAAATAGATACCAAGTTGTGTGGGGAATGAAGTGTCTTCGTAAGCCAGATAGGAACTGCAGCTGCCTTATAGGGCTCTGTCTTGTCCCACCTGGGCTGGCACCTGGGTGGAAGGAACCCCCGCAGCACTGTCCCAGACTCCCTGGACTCTGCCGAGACTCCCACTGAGGGGAAACCCTGAGGCTGCCCTGCTGACCAGCTGCGCTTCTCACTTCCAGACTCAAGCCATGTGTGGCCTCTGTGGCCTTTTCTGTCTGCACGTGTGGCTGAAGTTAAGAACATCCCTTGCTTGCAATTGTAATGTGATGAAGATGGAATTTTGAAATGCATTCTCTTGTCTCCAAGTGCTTTTTCTGCTGTATCATAGCTGCTTTGTCTTAGGCAATGTCCTTTATTTCACCATAGAACCTCACAGCTTGTATGTATACTTTTGCCATAGTCAGAGAATGCTATTCCAGTTTTGTGTCTAGGCCGCCTGTGACTGAGGTCTCTCACAACATCAGAGATGTTGTGTCACTGCCCACCTTTTACCTCTGTTTTATTCCAAACTTTTTTCCCTGGAAATTCAAATGAAATATACTTCTGTTGATCATCTAGGAGCTGTGTGGCATATAGAATGGTGGTACCAATTTTTTTACTTTTGGTCAACTGACAATAGTAATTTTCTTTTTTCTTTTTCTCCTCCTAGGCAACCTCCTGTCAGTGAGTCTCACTGGAGAGTGTTGCTGCAGGACATGTTAACTATGCAGCAGAATGTTTACACGTGTCTAGATTCTGACGCTTGCTATGAGGTAACTGGACAGATTTTAGTGTTTCCTTTCAATTTTTAAATTTTGCTTGTTAGATTTTGTTGATTGAACACAAAGATGATGACCAGAAGCTTCACTCTAAGTAATAAGACTGAATTATTGACGAATAGCTGGTAATTGAGTAGTGTTTTAGAGTTTGAGCACTTTCATATCTACATTTCTGTCGTCTTTGTTCATTGCCACACATTTATTTAGTGGGTTAATTCTCAGCTGGAAGACTCCAAATTGTACATCAAGTACAATTGTACATCAAGTACAAGCCTCTCTTTCATAGTTTTGGTGGTCACCAAAAATGACTTCATCGTAGTTGGACTTCCCTCCTAGCTCAGATGGTAAAGAATCCTCCTGCAGTGCGGGAGACCCAGGTTTGATCCCTGGGTCGGGAAGATCCCCTGGAGAAGGAAGTAGCATTTCACCCCAATATCCCTGTCTGGAAAATCCCATGGACAGAGGAGCCTGGTGGGCTGCAGTCCATGGGGTCGCAAAGATTGGGCGCAAATGAGCGACTAACACTTGTGACTTGTGAAAGACGACTTCATGTACCTGAGAAAAGTCTCTCAAATCTGCCCGGTCTTCATCTCTGCTAAGTTGCAATAGCCTTCCAAACTTGTTCCGCTCCTTCCGTGTCTCCTAACTCATGCCGATTGAGAGTATTCTTCTAAAGCAGACCTTTTTATTACACTCTTTTTCTTAAGAGTGAGCTGCTTATTCCCTATCTACAGTCAGAAAGTATCCATGTTTCTTACCCTGTCATAGAAAGCCACTGGGGATTACCCTGTGCATTTCTCGCCTCTGACACTCTCTACTGTGTCCCCTGGGCTCAGTGGTGTCTGATCTGTCCTGAGTCCCTCCACTCACCTTGCTGTTCCCTGCTTCTGTGACTCTGCACATTATTCCCTTTGCCTACCTGGAATATGTTCCTCTTTTTTAAATTTGAAAATTGATGATAACTTGTAGGATTCAGCTCAGTCATGTCCTCTAAGATGCCTTCCTTTGTCCTTTGATATAGCTCATCTCTTGTGTAGCCTTTCTTTCAAATGTAGTAACTTGCATGTTTCTATGTATGTTTCTTCTTCTTGGTCATTAGCCTATAGGCAGGCATTATTAGATCATGTTCATCTTCAGCTCCCCTAGTGCATATTCTAGTATTTGGTGTACAAAGGGTACTTAAGGATGGCTAGTTGTCTAGGATTATAACCCGGGAGGATTGAATCCTTATTTTGGAAGGTATGTGTATTACCACCAAATTCCTCAGGCTTTGCATGGAAAAATGATCCAGCTAACCTATTTTTAATGAGATACAGTTCAAAGGAGTGTTCCCATTTGAATTTTCCTATCACATAAGCCAGATCCAAATTATGTAGGATATTTCTTTCTTGTGTTGCTCTGCTCTGACAATCACGAAGCATAACCTGTTGATAAAATGAGAGTTATAAAATAGGTCTGTGTTTTATGAAATCAGCTGTATTTTAATTCAAGGTGGTTTTAACAAAAGAGCACTGTTGAGAAATGAACATAGGCTGTTGAGAAATGAATAGTTTTGTATTTGAACTTCAGATTTTTATGTGCTTGATGGGTGTAAAGTTTATATTGATGATTGCAGTCTCTGACCATGCACAACTGCCAGTAACTTCCCCCTTGTATCTAAAGCAAAGCTGGAAATTCAGTTTCAGGAGAAAATAATCTTATGCATATGGGGCCCCAAATCTTAACTGTCATTAGTATGCTTAAAGTAGTTTCTAAGTGTGCGTAGCATTATTTCCTGTTATGTTCTGATTCTGACTGAAAAATTGGCATTAAATATATTACACTTGAACTCACTTTTGTGTAATCTGTCATAACAGCTTGACATATTAAATCGTTTTTGTTATATTTTAACACATTTATTTGTATTAGGCTTTGATATTTTAACAGCTTTGTGCTATTAGTCTTTCTCCTTTGAGAAAACATTTTAAAGCATATTATAACTGTCTTAAATTGATTCTAGAGAATAACCCAGATTTGGCATTTTTTAAAATATTTTAGTGCTGTTTAAATTACGCTCTATTGTCTTACTGACTTGTGGCCGTTATATTCGGTTTACCTGTTCTTGGAAATTAATTTGAAATCTCATTGGCCCAGTTTTGATAAGGTGCAGGATTTTTATATAGCCTGTAGAGCAGAAATATGTGCTGTTCATTTCAGCAAAACCTTTAAAATAATAGGAGTGAATTGTAGTTTTCAGTTTTGGGCATTGACTCTCTGTGGCTTACCTGAATAAATCAAAGGAAAAGAGAAATTGTTACACCTAAGTCATTTTGGTCACCTGGAGTGAGCCATTTTCACCTGTCGTATAAGTGATTAGGGTTACTGCCTGATAATTTGCTTTCTGCCACAATATGTATTTTATAGCAGATCCCTTGTTGGAGATTAGTAGTTTTATCCTTGCCAGTCATTTTAATAAAGGCCTGTCTAAAACTACCTTTTCCAGAAGCTTAGAACAATTGAAACTAAAGAGATCCTATCAAAATTGGGTACTATTCCTTTTTATAAGGAAACCCTTGCCTGTCCATGAAATCTTTTCAGTTCTTGCTTCTGTTTCTGTCCTCATCCAACAGTGGCGTGATAGGAAAGAGCAGTCCCAGGGACATTCTCCCAGGGAAGTGCTTGTGCTGATTATGTGTCACTGTGATTAATGTGGGCTTAAATGTATCTCTTTAATGAGACTTTTTTGGAATAAGTAAATAACCTCAATTATAGAATTAATTTTATGTTAATTGGTGCTATAAGTTGCCTTGTAAAATACTGTGGTATTTGCACAACTACCTTCCACCAAGTAGCTTCTGTTGTATTTAAATAGTTTTTAATTTGCAGATTGGCAAAAAAATGTCACGTGGTGTATTGTCATTCTAGTGATGAGGTGTAAGGAGAACATTTGTACCTTAGGTATTTAGTGAGACCGAAGGTCCCCTGGAGAAGGAAATGGCAACCCACTCCAGTATTCTTGCCTGGGAAATCCCATGGACAGAGGAGCCTGGCGGACTACAGTACCTGGGGTTGCAAAGATTCAGACTTGTCTGATAGACTGAGCATGCACATACACTTCTGAGACTGACTTTATGTGCTTCAAGCAGCCATTAATTATGTGTACCATATTCAAAGATTTTCTTTTAAAAAATAAAAATGTTATAGTTTAACCAGAGTGTGGGACAGTATGTCTAATGGACCTGACTTTAGTGAGTGTGAACTTTAGGTATTTTACTTAAGTATTCATTGTAACACATGAAAGTATGCTTACCGTTAGTTTGTTCAGTTAAATTATTTCTTCTTGCTAGAAGAGAGATTTTTTTTTTTTATTGAGGTGAAATTCACATAACATAAAATTAAGCATTTTCAAATATGCTTCATTGTCATTGAGGTACATTCATGATATTCTGCAACCTCTACTTGTAGAATGGAGGTATTTTTTAAATTTATTATACTTGGATATCAGAGCTTCCATTGTGTTGAGAATTGAGTCCTCCCTTTCTGAGCACTAATTCTAGTTTATTCTTTTCCTCAGATATTTACAGAAAGTCTTCTGTGTTCCAGTCGCCTTGAGAACATCCACCTGGCTGGGCAGATGATGCACTGCAGTGCTTGCTCAATAAATCCACCAACTAGTATAGCCCATAAAGGAAAAACCCAATACAGGGTCAGTTACGAAAAAAGTATTGACTTGGTTCTGGCAGCCAGCAGAGAGTACTTCAATTCTTCTACCAGCCTCACTGACACCTGCATGGATCTGGCCAGGTAGAGGAACTCTGTGTTCTCCATAAGAGAGAGTGGGGTCAGAATACACACACTGCATTGTTGGTTTTATTCTCTGATGTACAAAGTATGTTATCACAAGTACAGAGTGACCCTTCTGTTTAGGGTACAGTTGCTTAGTGCTTGAGTATAGAAAGAAAACTTAATTATGTCATGAGTGTTCAATATTTTATGACCCTTTTTCTCTAGCACACTTTTCCACAGTCATTTTAGCTGATTTTCTATAAGGTTATACTTTTCTTCTATTGGAAGAAATTCACGTGGTAACCTGCAAATCCGGGTTCTGGAAAATTTTAGCACATTAGGCCATGTCTGTATCCTTTACATGGCTTCCAGTCTCCTTAGGGACAGGGGACCTGATTAGATAATAAAACCCAAAAGTCCCTTCCAAGTGGAAAACTATGGACTAGGGATTCTATTCCTCTCTTGGCCTATTGTATAGGAAAGTTAGCGTTCCTTTTTCTTGGTATTAATTCTTAGGAGCTTTTTTTTTTGCATGTAGAACTTTAGCCCTTTGCCTCTCTTAATGGCTTAACTATGTTGCTAGCTTTTTATTTTATATATAATTTATCTTTTAAATGGCTATGTAGAATTTCTAAAAATTGTAATTGTTATTCTTTTCTCTTACATAAGGTTTCTATCTTTTGTGTCAGACTTTGAAAGACCTGTAATTCCAGAGATCATTAAAGTCATTTTTCATTTTCTTACTACTTCAGTTGTTTTATTTTTGCATTGAGATTTTAGGCTTATTTGTATTATTGTGGTGTCAAGATTGTGTTAGTTATTTAGTTACTTTTCCCCTCCAATGACTAGTAGTTGCTTCAACTCTAGTAAGACTTTTAAAGGTAACTTTTTTCCCCCAGTGAAATCTTATCACAGAGTCAAGATTTCTCCAGGCATGTTATTAAACTTGACAAAGTTGTTTAAAATAGTTAGTAAATTTTTTCTCCTTTCCCAAGGGATAGTATTTCTATTTCAGATGATGAAAATATCAAATAGAACAGCCTTTGAAACTGGGAGTTGTGTTTGACCTAAATCTTCTTGACAGATGCTTCTAGAGATCATTTTAAAAACTATACTTGCAGTATTTTCCTTTCATCCATCTCCTTTCTCCTATGAAAGTGAAGTGAAAGTGTTAGTTGCTCAGTCGTGTCCGACTCTTTGCAACCCCATGGACCATAGCCCGCCAGGCTTTGCTGTCCATGGAATTTCTCCTATAAGGACACAGTTTAATTTTAAAAGTGTCATATGTGTATAACATTGCACCAACTGATTGTGACTTGTTAGCTCAGATATATTTAATTGTTCAAAGTTTTATTGAAATAGAAAATAGCCATCCATTCTTATTGATTAAATTATTATTTACTAATTTTTTTAATTGAAGAAGCAATACAGCTATGAGATAAAATATTCAAAAATACAGAAAGATAGCTATAGACAATGTCTTTCTCCTCATAGTTCCCCTATCTTTAATGCTCTCTATATTTTTAATTTATTTCCTGTGTATCCTTCTGGAATATCTTATTGAATATTGCATTCTTCTTTTTTGAGTCACAGGTGCTTACGACTTGTACATACCTTTCTCTGTTTTGTTTTATTTACTCACTATCTATATATAGGGTTTTTTCATGTAAGTACATATTGGTTTGTTACATTCTTTTTCGGTGGTTGTAGAATATTCCATTGTTTGACTTTTATTTAGTTTATTTAATTAGTTCCCAATTTAGTGTATTTTATTAAAAAAAAAAAAGCCTATAATTTCCTAGAGCTGGAATTCCTGTTTTCAAAGGTAAATGCAGTTGAAATTTTGGTAGATACCATAAATAGGTTATATACTGTTACCTCTTGAACCAGTAGTATGTGTTAGTGCTTATCTGATTTATTTATTTATTTTTATTAGTTGGAGGCTAATTACAATATTGTAGTGGTTTTTGCCATACATTGACATGAATCAGCCATGGGCTTATCTGATTTGAATGCCCTAATTTTTGCAATAAGAAGATAGGCCTATATCTTTCCGTTGGTCATATAGGTAGACACTGGCCTAGACATCTTCCTGTGATGGTCCAGGATCTTAGCATCATTAGCTCTTCATGGCCTGATCTCTGCCTCTCCTTTCTAGTCTCATGTCCCACTGTTCCTCTACGTGCATCTTTCAGAAAATAGGTTTGTTGTTAACTAAAATTTATCAAGTATGCTTTCTCTGCGTTTCACAAAATTTGCTTAAAATCCTCATGGGTATTACAAATTCTTAGATTATCAAATCACTGTCACTTACATTTATCTCAGTACTGCATCACCAACTGATTGTTTCTGATCAGCAGAATGTCTTTTGTGCACTTTGTTAGGTTATTCTTATTTCCTTTGAGAGACAAAGTTGTGACTGAAATCAAGACATTTCTGCTTTCCTTAGAAGAATAACTGGAAATTATCTGAATTCTGTCCTTTTGCTTAATCCTTTTTATATCATCATTATCTTTGGAGTCAACAGTAAACAGAGCACTAAACCCGGAGCTAACATATCTTGCTTTATCCTCTGATACCTTACGTGCTGTAACCGGTGCAAATCGCTCACCTCTGAGCTTCAGTTTTGGCTTCCTTGAAAAGCAGGTGGTGATATTTCTCTGTCTCACAGGCTTGCTGTGAGGATTAAGTAAGATGTCAGAAAGCCTCTAGCAGAATACCTGGAAGGATGTTGCTGTCTCATAAATGTGTTGGATCTCTGTGTTGTCATTCATAGAAGGGCAGTTTAGCTGAACATATGCTACTTTTCCACTTTAAAAATGATTTTGTCCTAGGTGCTGTTTACAGCTGATAACAGATCGACCCGCTGCCATTCAAGAGGAGCTCGATCTTATCCAGGCCCTGGGGTGCCTTGAAGAATTTGGGGTGAAGATCTTGCCTTTGCAAGGTGAGTTTTCTACTTAACTGTTGCACTTTTATTAACTTATTTTGCATAAATTCACTAGTATTCCTGTTTAGGTGTCTAAATAAGGAGCACTTTTGGTCATTTAATCCACTAGCAATAGGTTCTGCCCTCTGTCCCATTTTCCAGTGACATTAGTACAGCGGTGAGGCTGTTGGATAAAAGCAAAAAGAGAAATTGGGGATTACAAATGAGAGTTTCGCGTTTACATCAGTTTTGGATTGCAATTTATTCGTTTCAATTGCATAATTTAGAAGTAGCTCTAAATGATAATAGTTTATTTCTTCTTATGCTTACTGTAGAATATTCTTTAATTGAATCCGCATTTTTTTTTTAACAGAGGGAATGACAGGAAATTGTTTAGAGTTAAATTACTAACAATATGTTAGCATTGCTCAAGTTCTTTTACCTAAAGGTGGAAGTCAGATTAGTACCAGCCCAAACAAGTCATGTGTCCTTTTGGGACAGTGGGCATATCCCAGTCTCCTGAACCTCACCTGATAAGCAGGAGGGAGATTTTCTGTTGCTTCAGATCCTGGACCTCAGTGCCCTGAATGAAGTGAGTGTGTTTGGTGATTCGTGGTATGCTTGGCTAGTTTCCATGTAATCTCTGATCTTTATTCTTGAAAAGATTTTTATTTTTTTATTGAAGTATAATTGACTGACAGTGTTTCAGGTGTATAGCAAAGGGCTCTTATCTTTATTCTAACTCTGGGAATGTTCAGAATTGGGAGTGGGAGAGGTTTAACTAAGTTCTTTTCATCTCTGGTTTTTGATAAATTTTCACTGGAATAGTGTCTCTGCTGTTTTTTTTTTTTTTTTTTTTTTAACTTCTAATATCATTGATCAGTCATAGTCTGTTACAGGTGTCTTGGTGTGTTTATCTTCTGAGATAATTTGAGTCAGATGGATCTTCGGAAATGTCAGCCAGTGGAGACATTTTCGTGTGGATTTCCACTGTAGTTTTACTAAAAATGAAAGTTCTGCTTGTGAGACAAATTTCTAAGATTTTTTGAAAGTTGGTATTACTGTTATCTTGATTATTGTTTGAAAGTAATAAGTATGTGATTGTAAATATCCTGCAGTGTCTTAAATAGGTATATTCAAGGTGATTGTTAAATTGCTAAAAAAGTCTATTCACTTGTACCATTCATGTAATTCTTTGAGCTCAAACCTTCTTTAAATTGTGAGGATTAATTAGAGTTACCAGCAAGCACTTTCAGTTTATTCTCAAATGTCTTAAATCATTAACCACCTCCCCCAAAACACATATTTTTAATTGAAGATTTCAATCACGAAAGAGCCCAAAGTACTATGAAACTTTTGTCCTTCTTGTATTTCTTGTTAGGTCAGGTCATTATAGCTTTGACCCTGTATGTGTTTATCTTTTAGCTAGTTATTTAATCCAAGCGGATTGAAAGAATACAAAAAAAAAAAAGTTGGTTTCCCAAATGCTACTGAAGTTTGAAAATTATGTCGAGCTCTGGTTTTTCTGTGGTACTTAATTAGCAATATTTGCAAATCAGCTGATGGATTTGAGTACCTCCAACCAAACCTGCCACCCCTCTGAGAAACTTCCTGACTGAGGAGAATCTTAAGAAAGGATGTTGCTTTCATGTCCTGACAGTTTTTCAGTTTGGTATATTGATTTGGAGTTTCCTATTAGAATGACTCCTGGATGTGGAGATGGAATATTCCTTTTCTGTACTGTTTGTTGTATTTATGCCACAGGTGCAGTTTAGGTTTAAACTGTTTTCATATTCATCAGTAATACTGGATCAACAAAATAACTTGATATTTAAAGACTTAAGGTCCAGCTATTTTTTTTTTTTTATTGTAGTCAGTGTACAGTAGTTCACTTTGTTACTTTGCTTGTTTTGATGCCCTTCTTTGCTTACACTCTCAGAGTTGAAAATAGGATCAGAAATATATAAAAATGATTCCTTATGTAAGGGTCATCTATGATGTGTTTGTGTGTGTACTTTTCCATATATCTTGGGTGTCTATATTGTATTAGTTATTCTTATATTCAAGTGAACCAATTTAAGATATTTCAGTTATCTCTGTGTTCTTTCTACAATAGAGTCCATGAATTTTCCGGACTTAAGGGTGTTGTGTTAAGCCCAGCCTTAGGTTAGTTAGGGTTAGTCACTTAGTTGTGTCTGACTCTGCTACCCCATGGACTGTAGCCTGCCAGGTTCCTCTGTCCATGGGATTTACCAGCAGAAATACTGGAGTGAGTTGCCATTTCCTCCTCCAGGCGATATTCTTGACCCAGGGATTGAACCTGGATCTCTTGCATTGCAGGCAGATTCTTTACCATCTGAGCCACAAGGGAAACCCACTTTTTCGCATATTACGAAATAACTGGACATTTATCTTAACCTTTCTTTGTATTTAACTTTTCTTGTTTTCCGAATGAGTGTAGTTAAGCGTCTTATCGAATTCCTTACAAAGATTAAGTCTGTTATTTTTATGGTGTTTGGGATATAGTAAGAGCTCTGCAACTATCAGCTGTCATTTTTATGATTTTTCTTGGAGTTCCTCTTAATGCTGGCAGAATTAGAGTGGTCTTACCCTCTTTTGCCTTCTCCCTTTTCCCCTCCCCTCCTGTCCCTTCCTTCTCCTCTCTCCATTCTCCTTTCCTTATGTTCAATAAACATTAATTTAGGCACGTTTATTCCAGCAACCAAAATAATGAAAGGGTACCTCTTGACTCTGAGGGACTAACACCCTGCTAGGCATGGCATGCAGTCATGAGTCTGTCTTCTTGTGTTTAGATTCTGATTCAGCCAGTCTGAGCTGTGTGATCTGTGTCAACTTAATGGCTTTGAACTTAACCTTCCTCAGATGGAGATAATAGTAAAATATTCCCTAAACAGTCCTGAAAGTTATATCTTGAACACTGAGAATTCTGGGTTAATCTTGGCAAAAACTATAGAGGAATTCTTTGTATCATTCTTGCAACCTTTCTGAAAGTCTGAAATTTAATTCTAATAGAAATTTACCCTTCCTCCAAAAGCCTGTTCCAAAGAAAAGCTACTACCTTTTTCCTTTATGTCATTTATATAAATTGGACCAGTGAGCGCTTCAGGGACTTTTACTCTCCCAACTGAAGTGATATGGTGGAGGTAGAAAGTGGATATTTGAAATTTGGAATGGATTTTGGGAAGCTGAGGTATGGTGGACAAACAGGTGTACGAGGAAGTATCTGAAATTTTCAAAGACAAATACCACTGTCTTTAAAATTTTCCGTTAGTCCTGACTTGAAAATGTAGCACTTCTCTCTTAATTTCAGAATGTCAGTTCACTTGCTGTGTTTCATCACTTTGGTGATAAAAGATCTTTATTGTACATTATTTATTCAAAATTAACAGTAACTTTATTATTTTTTTAAATTGTCTTTTACTTAATTCTTATTGATCTGGGGACAAACACAGTTTTCATTTTGTTCATTTGCCTTAAATTAGGAAGGTCATCGTACCTTTGTTGTGTCCATGGTCACAAGTCATCAGCGTGTCTTTCTTTGCAGTGCGATTGTGCTCTGATCGGATCGGCCTCATCAAGGAGTGTATTTGCCAGTCCCCCACGTGCTACAAGCAGTCCACCAAACTGCTGGGCCTTGCCGAGCTGCTGAGGGTAGCAGGTAAGTTTTGAATGCTTGACTGCAGAATCTGTGTTATTCTGTGCACCATCCTAGGAAAACACTGGAATACGCGCTACTAGGTGTGAGAGGAGCTGCTTTTCAGCAAGGTTTTGTCTTTTCCAGAAAGATTGGCCTGTTATAAAAATGTGTTCCTATGTTGAGCTGCTTGGACCTCTGTCTTTTAAATGAAGGCATACTTATTTGGGGTTCCATGGTCATGCAGGGTCAGAAAGAGAAGTCAGAGTTACCGTTTATAACCAGAAAACTTAAAAAGTAGGACAAGCCAGCTCAACTAGTTCACCTCCAGTTTCCACATTTGGTGTAATATTTTTGAACCTGAATAATTACGTAGAAAAATTTGTGCATTTACTGTTTGGCTAAGTTTTCACATGCATTATCTTATTTCATTTTCTGTTAAATGTTGTTGATGTTTTCTTCCTGTTTTGTGAGGGGAATTGAAGATATTTGGTAGACACATTTATGTTTTAAAATCTAAATAGAACTCTTCTTCTTAAGGCTTTATAGTTTTAGTAAATTTTACTTTCAGATGTCCTTTTCTAGCCTCTCTGAAAGCATTAGACTAGTATCTTTACCTCTGGCCTTGAAGATGTGCTCGGGCATCCCTTGGGGGCCGGGCAGCCAGGGAGGTGCCTTGGATGGCTGCATAGAAGTTGAGTGTGGGATCTGAAGACTGGCCCAGTCCTTACTCTCCTAGTCACTTGCTAAATGACTGAAGCTTCAGCTTCTGGAAAATAGAAATGACACCCCCTGCTTTAAGTCTCGGTCATGAGACCCACGTGAGTTAATGCATACGAAAGCACTTTGTAAACTCTGAAAGCACTCTGATCATCAGGGAAGAATTTCATAAGGATCCAGTTCATAGACACTAATGAAGCAGTCAGGGATGCTGTCTGCATTTTCCATGTACCTGCCTACTATTGTTAATTTCCATTTTCATCCCTGTGACACTGACCTGAAAATAGAAATATCAGTGATCGAGGTAAGCCTGCATTTTTAATGGTATGAACATTACTTTTCAGTCCTGCCGAGTACATTTATGTGGAACACCTGGTGTTCAAATCACTTTTCTTTATTGCAGCTATTTTAGTTCTCCTATTTGGAACCATCTCAACTTGACCACCTCTGTTTCACAAACTTGAATGTGTTATAACTTCAGTCCAGTATCATTAAAAGAGAAGACTAGTATCCATATTTCATTCAACATGGTGCTTTTATTGTGAGCCCCCTGAGTGCACATAATAGCTACTATGTATCCGTGACTGCTGTGTGCTAGCTCCCTTCTGTGCCCTTTTAACACACTGGCTCTTCTGCTGTTCACTGCAGGCTCTCCTTACCTGCATTTTACAGATGGGGAACTAGAGGCCCCAGAGAGGAAAGTAATACCACTTTGTCAACTACTTTGGATACAGAGTTCTATTACACACCTGCTGCCCTCTAGGAATTTAGCATCTTAGAGGGCTGCAGAAGCAGAGAACTGTGTTGCATCATGGGGTATGATGGTAGTCCACGGCTTCTGTAAACAGATGTTAGAGAATCTGAAAGACAATTGTAATATTTAGCTGGGAGCAGAGTGGTGTTAAGAGAGGGATCACAGGCGGGTAACATGTATCTGAAGCTTACAGAATGCTGCAGTTATTTATTGCTGCTTTACAAACCACCCCAAAACCTAGCAGCTTAAAATAACAACAGTCACATCTTCTTATCTCTCCCAGTTCTAAAGGTTGACTGGGCAATTCAGGGTCTTTTATGAAACTGCAGTCAGATGTATCAGCTAGGGCCATGCTCATCTCAAAGACTGCTTTGTTCACATGTCTGGCACCTGGGCTGAGAAGATTGAAAAAGCTGGGTGTTGGAGTAGCTCAGGCTTTCTCTTCTCTATGTGGTTTCTCCTTACCATCTTTCCTTATGTTGTTGTCAGACCACCTGGATTTCTTATGTGGTGGCTGAGGGCTCCCAGAGCCAATATCCCAAGGGAAACCAGCAAAAGTTTCATGTCATTTTGCTGTAATTTAGCTTTGGAATTTGGGCAGCTTCATCTCCATTGTGTCTTATACACGGAAGCAGTCACACAGGCCCTCCCGAGTTCAAGGAAAATATTTATAGGCTCCACTTGAAGTTGACTGGGCTTGGGTGAGCCTGAGATGGCTTCCACAGCTGTTGGAACAGGCCTATGTTACTCTCTGGCTGGTGTCAGAAACCTCAGCCCCTTGCCCCGGGGAGCTCTCCATGGGGCTTCTTGGGCATCCTCTCAATTTCTCCTGGAGCATTTGGTCCAGAGAGCAGGGCAGAACCTGTAGTGCTTTTTTACAACCTCGTCTTGGAAGTCAGACTCCATCGTTTACAGCTTACTCTGTTAGAAATAAATCACTAGTCATCCCCACTCAAGGGGAGGAGCAGTAAGCTCCATCTTTAGAAGGGAGTACCAAAGAATTTGTGGACATAGTTTAAATTCTATTTCATACATTCAAAGTTTTGTCCTGCTACCATTAGTATTTTCTTCAAATTAAACATTTAGACCATTTTCTTTAGTAGATTTCTAGTCCAGATCTACTCCTGGCTCTTCTCCCCGTGAACTTGGCTTTCTTTGTAGAACTTTTCTAGAATCATTGTTTTCAAGCCTGTTTTTGCTTATGTCTTTTCTTTTAGTCACCTGCTCAGATCACCTGATATACAAACTAACTTTCTCACAATGAAACTATAAAATTTAAATCCATTTTACTTTGTATTTATGGTTTTTATCTTTTTATTTGTCATTATTGATTAGAATTAGAACATTCAAATACTAGAATAAACAGGAAAAAATGTTTAAATTCCCTATTTGGAGGAAAACTTTTCCTCTACCTACCTATGTTGGAATGGCTTGTCTGGGGCTGGTATATTGGTATTTTACTGGAATATCACAGATTTACAATGTTGTATTAGTGTACAGTGAAGTTATCCAGTTACAAATGTACATATATGCACTCATTTTTAGATTCTTTTCTCATATAGATTATCACGGAATATTGAGTAGAGTTTCCTTTGCCATAATGTAGGTCCTTGTTGGTTATGTATCTTATATATAACAGGGTGTAAGTGTTCATTTCAGGTTTCTCATTTATCCCTCCCCACTGAGTTTGTTTTCTATATCTGTTAGTCTGTTTTTGTTCTGTAATAATTTCATTTCTTTTCTTTTTTTAAAAAATTGGTTTCCGTGTCTGAGTGATATCATAAGATATTTGTCTTTGTCTTACTTTACTCAGTATGACTATCTCTAGGTCCATCTAAGTTGCTGCAGATGGCATTATTTCATTCTTTTTTATGGCTGAGTGATATTCCCTTGTGTATGTGTACCACATCTTTTTTATCCATTCCTCTGTTGATCGACATTTAGGTTGCTTCCATATCTTGGCTGTTGTAAACAGTGCTGCAGTGAACATGGGGGTGCAGGTATCCTTTTGGATTATGGTTTTCTCTGGATACATGTCCAGCAGTGGGATTGATGGATCACATGATAGTTTTATTTTTACTTTTTTAAGGAAACTCCATACTATTCTCCATAATGGTTGTACCAATTTATATTTTGTATGGGGCCGATATTAATCATTGATCACTTTGGAGACTGAGAGATAATTTCATGATTAATAAACAGATTGAAAGGTCTAAGTGGCCTTGACTTTTTGTCCTGTTGTCTTATAAAAATCTTTCTAATCTCTGTTTTTTGTTTGAGAATTAATTAGAAAGATAGAGTTAAGGAACTCCTCTATCAATCGATACTGCCCCAAACAGTAGGTTGTTTGCATGTGTTTACAGGTGAAGACCCGGAAGAAAGGCGTGGACAGGTTCTCGTCCTTCTAGTGGAGCAGGCATTGCGTTTCCATGACTACAAAGCTGCCAATGTGCATTGTCAGGAGCTGATGGCCACAGGTGAAGTAGACATCACTTAACACTTGGCTAATGTTCTCTCTCATGGAAGAGGTCTCTCTTGAAATCACTTGGTCTAATTGGTAAGCCAGCCACACTGTGTTCATAAGCCTTGGGAGATGTTTTGTGAGCACTGATAAATAGGTATTCCATGTGCTTGTATATTAATGTAAATACTTTAGTGGACTCAAGGGGTTATGTTTTATCTGGGATATGGTTGCTTTCCACTCCATATTAAAAGGCTCATAATTTTAATAGCAATTTTATGTTAAATATTTTAATTTTAAAATATTACAAAATATGTTATGTAAATATTTTAATTTTTATGTATTTTTCATATAAAAGAAGAATTTCAAATTTGAAATATCTGTAATTTGTGACTCCATTGTCAGTATTTCTATCCTTTAATTTCTTTAAAAGATCACAAAATCCTTTTCTAATTCGAGCAGTTGGGAAGTAGCTTGCCACTGATATTGAAATTATAACTCAAGTCTCTGGAGGATAAGCAGATTTTATTGTGGAATAATTTCTTTATGAAAGAGCACATTCCCCAGAGGAGTAGCCAGTAATGTTGTCTTGTCATAGGCTCTGGGCTAAATGATGTGCTTTTTGTAGTTGTGCCTGAGTATGTGGAAACTCAGGCACACTTACATGTTTACCTACTGCCTGTGCATGCCTGTGTGTGGCTAACAACGCAGTGCTTCACTTTGTGATACCTTCTGGCATTGCACACTGATGATTTGTATACTTGTTGTATACTGGTAAAGGAAATGATTATTCTGACACTTGTTAAAAATGGTAGGGAAGACTTTATTCAGGACTTTTGTAACGGGAGAGAAATCAGGCTCAACCCCAAATACAGAAAAGACAGCTGGGAATTTATCACCATGGATCAGATTGAGGGGATCAACAGTGGTTGAAAAATTACAGTGACGAGACATCTGGGATAGGGGCATTTGTACTAAACCGACTTACTGGTGGCAGGCCTGGGTGATCAGATACAAAGAGTGAGAGATTCTCTTTAAACTGACTTGGCAGGATTCTTGACTGAATCTGGGTTATAACAGGTTCAGCAAAGACTGGGCCAAGGTAGAGGCCTCATTAGAAGAGGACTCAGAGAAGCCTGAGTGAAGTTTGGTCAAGGAGGGGGTTTGGTGATACATCTGTGAAAATGTTGAAAACTGGGAAAAAGCTTAACACTTTATAACCTCAGCATTGGAAAACTGGTTTCATGAAAAAACTGTCAAATATTAACCTAGTGATTGTGTACCATTAAGTTCAGAATAGTTATGGTATTTTGGAAAGTCATTCTCTTAATTCACTATCATTTACTTAGAGAGCTTCGTATTAAATTTATACCTATAAGGATAGTACTTGGATTAATTCTGACTTTGTATATTTAGAGAAATTATCCTGGGCCAAGGCCTTTGTACTTAGAAACAAGACCTACTTTCTAACTGGATCTCCTTCAAATAAGAATGAAGATGCATTTTAAGAGTTCAGAGCATAAACTTGCATAGGGAAAAGCCCTCTGCCAAGAGTCAGACTCTGACTGTATTTTTGGCACTATCCCTGAACCTCTGTCTTCATCTGTGAAGTGGATGATTCTTTGTAGCTTTCCACAATAATTTATCTTTTTCTAGTACTTGGCAGTGTATAAAGTGCTTTTAAGTACAGTTTGTTTTAAAATAAAGATTGTTTAATCTTTACAATATTCCCTTAAAAACCTTCCTTGGTGGCTCAGATGGTAAAGAATCTGCCTGCAGTGAGGGAGACCTGGGTTCAATCCCTGGGTTGGGAAGATCCCCTGGAAAAGGGAACAGCTACCCACTCCAGTATTCTGGCCTGGAGAATTCCATGGACTGTACAGTCTGTGGGGTTGCACAGAGTCGGACATAACTGAGCAACTTTCATTTTCACTTTACAACCAAGGGAAAGAGGAAATTACTATTATTTTTGTTTTTTTGTGATGGTGAGGGATGATGATGTTTGGACCTTTCTCAAGCTCACACAATGCTTGGGCCACACTCAGTTCTTTCTGAATTCAAATACTGAGCTGTTTTTACTCAACATCAAATCTCAGTAAATTATCTGTAGTCATTGCCAGGTTGATTATTGGTAGTCATTTTCATCTGAAATTTAATGTAGTTTATCGGAAAAGCTTGTCTGGAGCACTGCTGAACATCTGGATAATACACTCACGTAATGTTTCTTTTCTATTTTAGATCACTATGTATTTCTGCTTATGTAATAATACATATCACTTATGACTGACTTTGCTTTGGTAACATAAGACCTTAGTAAAAATCCGTTACATTTTTCAAGTTAGATTGAAAATATTTTTCTGCTTGTGAAAATCAGTTTGTCTTTTCTTGCCCGTTTTCCAGGTTACTCTAAAAGCTGGGCTGTCTGCAGCCAGTTGGGGCAGTCGGAAGGTTACCAGGACCTGGCCACTCGGCAGGAGCTCGTGGCTTTCGCTCTGACACACTGCCCTCCCAGCAGCATCGAGCCGCTCCTGGCTGCCAGCAGCTCTCTGCAGACAGAAGTAAGTCTCCCAGCAAAGTAAATCCGGAGCTGTATCACGTGTGTTTTCTTGGGTCTCTGGATCTTGGGTTTGTGCTCTTTTTTTTTTTTTTTCAATAATATAAAAATTTTAATTTATGGAAAAGATAGTTTGTTACTTACAAGCTGTGAAAAGGGATTTGAAGATATTAGGCTATAAAATAGTGTTGTTGGCTTTATTCCAGTAAAGAAAGGCTACAGGTATGAGAAATAAGAGAAGAGTATAGGAAACAAATTATTGAATATAATGGGGAACTTTAGTATTGTCAAGAATAAAATATATAAGAAGAGGTCCTGTGTAGTATACTGGAAATCATGTGAGTTAAAACCAGTGGTGGCACCATCCCCTTAGAAACTGTTTGGAAATAGCAGGGTGTGGGCTTTGGTTGGAGAGAAGCTCAGTTTCCTAAAATTCACAGGCTAGATCTGCCTCAGGGATGGTACGCCAGTTGTGAAACACATGTAGATTCTGAAATTCACATTTTCATCTCCTGGTCATTCATTACATTGTATATCAGGTTTTCCACAGTTAATTCTGCTCTTGAAACCATGGTTTCATCCTTGGGAGGGTGTTCATGAAGCCCTGAAGTAAGCCTGTTACCACTAGGAGATAGCATTTATTGTTGTTTTTTTTTGCCCCCTCGAAAGAATGCTTTTTAAATTTCAAGTCTACATTGTAAAATGAGGCAAATTTAAAAACAATTTTATTATAATATATAGTGTTCTTTTGCAGATTCTTTATCAAAGAGTGAATTTTCAAATCCATCCAGAAGGAGGGGAGAGTATCAATATGTCACCATTGATGAGTAAAGCACTGCAAGAGGTGAGTCTCGGTGAGAGGGAGGAGGAGTTTGAAAGGTGCTTGTGAGAGGAATGAAACAGTTACCTCACACTGTGTGTGTGGTGTCTGTAGACTGTTCTTTTAAGCTTTGTGTGTCTGTGTGAAGTATAGCATTCATATCAGTTCAGTTCAGTCGCTCAGTTGTGTACGACTCTTGGCGACCCCATGGACTGCAGCACGCCAGGCCTCCCTGTCCATCGCCAGCTCCTGGGTTCATATGGAGAAATATATAAAACAAAGATGTCCGTCTAATAAAGTATCATAAAGAAAACATGCATGAACCCATCACTCAGCTGAAGAAACAGCTCGTGACAAGCCTTCCCCTGCACACCCTCCTAACTCTTTGCTGTCCCAGAGTGGTAGTTTAAATTTACCTGTTTTTGCGCTGTATAGAAATTATTGCATTCAGTATTACATTTGTGAGGTTTATCCGTGCTATTATAAGTATTGCAGGTGATTCATTGTTACTGCTGTATAGAGATTAATTGCTATACGCATACATTCCAGTTTTTCCTTTCTAATACTAACTGACACTGGTTTATTTTCAATTTTGGTACTGAAATAATGCTATATCATCATTCTGTAGTGTTCCTAGTGCTCATGTACAGACTTGGAGGTGTGTGTATTAAGATAAGTGAGTTTGTTCAACCTCAGTTGATAATCCCTGATGATTCTCTTGAATGGTTTTACCCATTGCACACTCAGCAGCCGTGTCTGGGATTGCCATTTGCTCCCATCCAGGTAGTGCCAACTCCTTTGCATGGATAGTTGTCGAAACTTTACCTCTTAAATGTTTTGAGATACCTGTTTATGATTTTGATTTGCATTTTTCTGGTTGCTAGTGAGATGAACTTACCTCAGGAGGGAGCCTCTTTTGTGAGGTTCCTTGTTCAATTCTCTTGTCCATTTTCTGTTGAATTTTAGTCCTTTTTCCCTTTCCTCATTGAAATTCTTATGAATAAAATTCATCTGGATTCATTAAGTATTAATATGTATGAATCTCAGGAGAGCTGGTCCTAGGAAAGGAAGGAGGAGGTGTGTACTCACCAGTACCTTTTCAGCTGTTCAACCTTTGCTCCCTGGAATTTAGCTTCTTATGACTATTTCTAGCAACACAGAAGTGGCATTTTTTTTTTTTTTAGGTCAAAAGCAGTATGTAGTCTAACTAGATAAATTAAGAGATGATAATCGTCTTTATAGATTGGTTTCCACAGGATTCCTTTAAATGGTCAGCTTCACTTTTAAAGTGTAAAATGTCATTCATTTTCCTAGCAACTATTTTAGAAGACATCTGTTGTGATAAGTGAGCTATATCTTAGCTCCTTTTTTTGTTTTTATGTACTTTTTGTGTTTTTTTTTTTATATTTCCATATGTTGATTCACAATTTTTATGGCTATAGTGAAATGAAAGTGAAAGTTAAGGAATAATAGAGGAGTATTAGAGGACTCTAAAAGGAAATAGGAGAGAAAAACAAGAAAAAGAAAAAAAAAAAGAAAAGAAAAGAAAAAAAAATTTTTTTTCCCAAATAAAAAAATCGTAAAAATATATGAAAGTGAAAGTTGAGGAGTAATGGGGGAGTAATAGGGAATTATAAAAAAAAATGAAAGAGAAAAAATAAAAAAAAAAAAAGGGAAAGAAAAAAATGTACATATATATCTAGGAATTTCTCTGAGGTTGTTGCGGTCAGCGTAGGTTCAGTTCAATTTCAGATAGCTCCTCTTTCCAGCTTACACTTCTCGATATCTGTAGGCCCCTTCCCGTGTAGCCGGTGTTACCTTCAGGGATTTTAATCTGTTGCACCGGTCCTTTCTGAAGCGGTTCCCTTTGTTTATTTGGCTTCTGTTTGCTGTCTCTTTGGTGTCTAATTTCCGCCCTGACACAGGCGGGCGGAGGTGATCTCTTATTTAGGTTCTCTAGTTCAGTTCAGTCCTGCTACGGGGAGGGCGGGGCGCTGCAGACAGATACCGCTCTGTGTGGATAGCGCTCACCGTGTTCCGGCCACACTGGGTTTGCCCCGCTCACGGGTGTCTGTGCTTTCGCCGTCTACACTGCTCAGGCTCCCGGCTGCTCTATATGGAGCGGGCCCTGCGTTGAGTGTGGTTCCAGTTTTCGGGTACTCCACAAAAGCGCAGATTCGGTTGCTCCTGCGTTTTGTGCCTTCCTCGGCCTGAGCGGTTCAGGCAGCCAGAGGCTTGGGCGCACTCTCCCGGGTGCAGTACGCCTTATCCCTCCGCGGCGAGCGGCCCAGGCAGCCAGAGGCTTGGGCGTATTCTCCCTAGGTGCGGCGCGCCTTTTCCCTCCGAGGCGAGCGGCCCAGGCAGCCAGAGGCTTGGGCGTATTCCCCCTCCTTTTCCTTGTTTTGTATATCCTTTGTTATGCAAAAGTTTTTAAGTTTAATTAGGTCTCATTTGTTTGTTTTTATTTCCATTAATTTAGGAGGTGGATCAATAAAGATCTTTCTGTGATTTATGTCAAAGAATGTCCTGCCTATGTTTTCTTTTCTTTTTTTTTTTTCATGACAGCCATCTGTTTTTATTGTTGTTATTCAGGTGCTAAGTCATGTACCACTCTTTGTGACCCTGTGGACTGCAACAAGCCAAGCTTCCCTGTCCTTCACCATTTCCCAGAGTTGTTTTTATGCCCCTTTTATTTTATTACTTTTTTTCATTTATTTTTGTTAGTTGGAGGCTAATTACTTTACAATATTGTAGTATGTTTTCCTCTAAGAGTTTTATAGTATCTGGCCTTAATTTAGGTTTTTAATCCATTTTGAGTTAATTTTTGTGTATGGTGTTAGGAAGTGTTCTAATTTCATTCTTTTACTTATGTGTATGTGCTAAGTCACTTTGGTCATGCCCAAATCTTTGCAACCCTATGGACTGTAGCCCTCCAGGCTTTTCTGTCCATGGGATTCTCCAGGCAGGAATATTGGATTGGGTTTCCCTCCTCCAGGGGTCTTCCTGTCCCAGGGATAAAAGCCAAAACTTTTATGTCTTCCTGCACTGAACAGCAGGTTCTTTACCAGCAGTGCCATCTGGGAAGCCCCTATTTTACATGCAACTGTCCATTTTCCCCAGCACCACTTTATTGAAGAGACTGTCTTTTTCAACTTCTTTGAGAAATGAAACAATTAAACTTTGTATTAAAACATCTATTTTCTTTATCTCCATTGACTTATTGACTTTGCAATTTTCCAACATAGTAGTTATGGTACTAAAATTTAATTTCAAAAACAAAAACAGAGGACAATAGCAACAAGGCTCTGAAACAAGGCAACAGTGTGCTCCTGTGTCTTGTCAATAGCTGCATTTTCCTTGTTTCCAGAGTTTGCCTTTTTTTTTTTTTTTTTTACAGAGAGCTTGCTCTTAATTGCATCATAACCAGTAGCTGTCTGTGACATGCAATCATAATTTCTACTTAGTTGATCAAGTTATGGGCACCTAGAATGTAGAAGGAATGTCTGGGGTTCAATTCACCTTTATTGTAGTTATAAACTGGTATATAAATTATTACCAAAAAATCCAATACCGACATCCTTATGTTTACAAATCCCTAACTTCTATGTCACCTTTTTCCCTTCTGCCTCTTCTCTTCCCCAAATCCAAGAAACTTAAGTCTTAGGAATTTAGTTTGGCTGCATTACAGAACTCACAGCTGTCATATTCACCTAAATTCACGATCCTCTTTATTGTAAATAAGCTCCACCCCCAAGAAGAAGTAAAACTCATGTTTATAAACTCTGAATGACAGGGAACCAAAGACAATTGATTGGAAAACCTAATGAAGCTTTGAGGGAGCAGGGTGGTGAAAGGCATCTGCCTGAAAATTCTCCTCTAGTTAGTGTTCTTTGTGCTTTTCTTCTCCCCTGGAAGTAACACCTGGCAGTATGAATTATTCACCAGTTCACTAAGATTGCTTACCATCTCCAGACCAGGTGCTGGGAAGTCAGCCTGAACAAGACAGACAGGTGCCTCTCCACAGAATGACCTTCTAGTAGGAAGAGTCAGGCAAAGAATGTGTCCACCAGTCAGCCTGAGTTAATGCCATTAAGGAAAGCAAAATGGAGAGGAGACGGACAGTCTCTGGAGGGTACATTTTAGCTAGGATTGTCAAAAATACCTCTGGGAGTAGTGACAGCTCAGCTGTCAGTTGAGAAACCCACGTGTGATGGCAGGCGGGTGGGAGGAGAAGGGGCAAGCCCTCTGGCTGAGAATAAACCTGAAAACAGGAAAATTATGTTACTTGTTTGAGGGACAGAAAGGCAGACAGTATTCACAGATTAGGAATTGGTATTATTAGATGAATTTGAAAAGGCAAGCAGAAGACAGATCATGGAGAGTATTGGAAAATATGATAAAGAATTTCACTTCCATGCTGAGAAAATAAGAAGCCTTTAAAATTGCAAGCATGTCAGAAAACCTGAATTTAAGTCTTGATGTTTCTAGTAACTAGCAGTTTGATTTCTGCTGCATCACTTAAATCCCTGAGCCTCCATTCCAGTATTTGTAAAACAGCAATGTTAAGTATGTCAGCTGTTTTGCATCCACCCACCCTTCTTGCCTATTCAATGCAGGAGATGTAAGAGATGTAGGTTCAATGCCTGACTCAGGTAGATCCCCTGGAGGAGGGCACATCAACCCACTTCAGTATTCTTTCCTGAAAAATCACATGAACAGAAGAGCCTGGTGGGCTAGTCTACAGGGTCACAAAAAGTGGGGCACAACTGAAGTGACTGAGCATGCACGCAAGCACCCTTCTCCCTCCCCCCATCATCCACTTCCCACTCTGGACTCTAGCACCTTCTGCAGTGCATTGAAGTGGAGTTTGGCCAACAGAAGTCACAAGTCAGTGATGAGGTGACTGGAGGAGAGTGAGACAGACTACTTACCCCTCTAGGAGCCTCAACACTAGGTCAAAACAAAATTTACCTTGACCTAAGGACACAACTTCCATTAGGAGGCTGTCAACAAAAATTCAATACATTATCAGGTTAAGATGAAAAATAGAATTTTATTTGAGCCAGTCT